AAAATAAAAATACATTTTGGCCGATTCTAAGACTGATTCATTCACTCTAGGGCTTGATTTATATTGTTCTTGAAAGTGTATCTTGCATGTGTTACTCATTCAATATACGGACGCAGTAACTCTATAAAAAAAAGAATAAGGAAAGGGTGCGCTATAAAAAGTGGATTACTTTCAAATTAAGTTTTAACGCATTATAAAATTTATTACATTCTATTCTATAGACAAAAGAGGTCGGGCAGAGCAGACTCGATTACATTGCCGTGAATACACGACCGATGGTGCCAGATAAGCACAAAGCTCGATATTCTCCACGAAGGAGAGATAAGAATTCGCCATGCCTGTGCAATGTGCACGAGGTGACTAATCCCTCCAGGAGCCGAGTGGCTTCCAGGCGTCACCCGCGGGATATTGCCAAAGTTTAGTGGATGCGCATCAAATTTGGCGGAAAATTACCTCAAATTTAAGAAATATGACAACAGAGCAGTCTGCTCGTCGTTTTTTACGAAACTTTAAACGCGCACTTATTCTCTTCTCGAGATTCCTCGCCTCGCTTAAGGTTTGCGGGTTTATTATTTTGCGCGGTGTAATAATTTACCTCGGAGCCAGAAAAACGATACCAGGAGCTCCCCGTAAGTGGAGGTTAAACGAGTCTCTTCCAGAAGAACGGATTTTTAGAGTTAACGCAATCAAGTGTTTGGAGGGGCCACCGGAGAGAAGTTTTAATTCACAAAGCTGCTAATAAATTATCGTCCTAGTTAAGACGGTTGAATGTTAGTAAGTGAGGGAGGTGACGGGCTCAATAAAATGCTTTGAGATTTGTAGGTATGCACGGACATACCCTATTTTTCTGAGAGTAATCAGAATTTTAAGAAGACGGAAGTGAAATCCAGGAAAAATTGATTTTAGTAGTAACTTTGCCACTCAGCGAAAAATCCTCTTGCAACAGGCAGTAAAGAAGCTTACATCCATGGATGTAAGCTTCTTTAGGAGCTTCTTTTCTGCAGAAAAAAAGCTCCTTTTATTGACCAAATTGCTTGATTCAAGCGATTTCGTTCTTGATTCAAGAGAAAAACTGCTCGACGGTAAATTCAAGTGATTTTTCCCCCAGTAGAGTTGTTACCTATCTTAATTATTTAACGGCTGTTTTCCTCAGCACCATTTTTCGTCACTTCCTTCAATTCACGCAGTTCACTCTCTTGTCAAATCAAATATTTTCATCGTAAAGGGTTGATGACAAAAGAAAAATTACTTGATCCTCGAGCTACTATGTGTTCTAGATGAATCATCTAATTCTCTTTGAAAATCATTGCCTGGGTCGATTTTCTACAGAATGTTCCTTCCTCGCTCTGAAACACAGAATTGAGGGGATGACCTTTCGTTTGTAATGAACTTATTCATTTTCTCATATGATGGTGTTCATGGAATAGGATTTCGAAAGGACTTGCATTCAATTCCCCGAAAGCGAGTAATGATTTGTGACATCCAGTGCTTTGGATATCTTAAAGAAAAGTTTATACATATTTTTTTTTCACTCCACTCTGAGGTCGCGGTTTGCATTGAGAATTCACGACTTTGTGGATCTTTGGGGTGTTTACTCTCAATTAAGGGAGAGAGAGGAAAAAATACGTCAGCTAAAAATAAGTCAGCCGTTTCAGAAGATTTTCCCCGAACCCTCGGGAGTCCGTGGCGTGGCACCAAATGTAATCATATGATAAAACCAATTAAAGTGGACTCTTAGCTTCAGACAAAGTAGTGGAAACTTCGTGCATTATTTCAGCTGCTAATTGTGAAATGCAAAAGTAATGTGAAATTAAAACTTCGAATCAGCTTCTAAATAAAGATAAAGGATAATCTCGTTTCCTTGTGGTTTTTAAGAAAAAATCCAAGATGCGAAAAGTCATGAGCACTAATCAATATAAATACCAGGTACACTGAAAATTTTTCAAAAAAACTCTTCACAGCGACAACTTTTACTTCCCTCCGTCATGACATAAATTGGTTTGACCAGTTTTGATGAGAACTCAACAACTAAACAATCATAAATAGGACTTTCTTCAAGGGGAAGGTTAGAAGGTTCTATTTACTACGGGGTATCACTAACACGCAACACAATTTATCAGACGCTGCGATACGTGACCAAATAGTAAGAAGACTCTCCCCTTGGGATCTTTTAAGGAAGAAACCAACCTACTTACAGGATTTCAGTCGATCGCTCATGCTACTCCTTCCAGTCCCGAACTTTCGTGTTCAGCAGTGCAAACATTGTGGTCATATGACAATGAATTGTGATGTCTCAAGTAAATCGATTGCATGCTCCTATGACGTAAGGCCGTATCTTACATGAGCCCTGTTCTACATATGAATCTATATTCTTTGGGGATCATGCGGAAATCGAGTTACATTCTTACGACAGAGGAGCGACGATATGACAGAAGAACCGACGGAAGAGTGAGGCTTTGGTCGTGTGCGAGTTCAGTTGGTTTGGGTCGCACAACTTTATTCCTCTCAGATTTACGCATTCCTCGGACATGAAACCTCCCCCGAGAAAGCTTGTTCATGTAGACCAGGGATTCTTACTTTCTATCGTTGATTCATTGTGAGTGGATATCTGGTCACGAAACAGCGATATAGCGTGTTCGCTGGTGCGAGAAGCCACTGATTCGAATGCTGGGCCAATAGCTCGCAACGGATCTGAAAAATAAAAGGACCGAAATCCAATAAATAAACGGGAAAAAATGCGGGAAAATACTCGCAATACGGTTGCCATGTCTGGCCGGGAATTTCAAATTTTTTGCTGTCGAAAACGAGTTGTGAATCAGAGAATCTGAGAGCGTTAAGGCCTGACGTCAAAATCGCGTGATCGCGGTGAAATATTCCTCATTGATATCACTATGCGTGAATAGTGCAACTATGTTTGGTGGATTGCGCCATTTTACGTTACGTCATGAGATGGCACTTCTTGGACGAATTAAATACAGTATAATTTTGTATGTTTTTCATCTTGAAAACCGTTCATAATTGTATGTCTACCTACATAATTTGAGTGCAATGATCCAAATCACCAAGAATCGCTTTAATCATGAATTCACAAAAAAGTACCCTTCATAATCCATCTTTTTCGATTTTTTTTCAATTTGAAAAATTGTTTTCATTAATTGGATAAGATTTATTCTCTAAGCATTTTTCATAATATTCATTCCTTTCCAGGCACAGCTTGAAAGAATGTTATGCACAGGGAGATGCTTTGTAAAGAAACACTAACGTTACAATATCAGAACTATAGGGCGCCAAGTATAAGTGAATGAAAATATTAATATCAATAAAAATTAGGAATATTAAATAAATGGGGGGGGGGGGGTGCCCGCTTCTAGAATAACTATGGATAAATAGGGTGCTGTGGCGGCTAGTTGTCACAGAGGGTCTCATAAAGCGCTGTGAAATTGACTTTTATGTAGGTATGTTTAATATTAATTGAAATTATCTACGTTCATTTACTGAAAGTAGTTTCCAAAAGTGCCCACGAATAAAAATAAGCCACGAGACATCAACTTATGTCCTTTCTAGACATGATCAGAACTTTTATCTATAAATGACCCCTGTATACCACCATTAGCAAGAATACCGTAATTCCAGTCAAGTTCATTCTATCAGTTCCCTGAAAATACTTTATAAAATCGTCCAATGATCATCCTCTTCAGGATCATTAGATCACATCATTGCAAACTGAATGAAAAAACCATGTAAGTACGTAGATATTCGGGATATTCGTAGGTGATAAAGTTGTAAAATTTAGAACACACCTACGATGTTCTTGTTTGAGGAAGCATTCTAAAACGCCGGCACAGATCGGAAGACTTACTTATATTTTGCTCGATCCGGCAATGCGAGTTGCAACTGTCGGAGCTCTTCAGTTCTGCACGAATCAATCCTGGGGTTTGATCCCGATTTTATATTCACGAGGCGCAAAGCTTCGAGTTGCTTCTGCCTAAAGAACACAGTTTATTCTTCCATTATTCCTCGATTTGCGGGCTTCATTCATCCATTCACCAGTAGCTGCTGAGTTAGACGCACTAAAAGGAATGTTCGACCGCTTCGCCTCCTGAAAAGGCGGCAAGTACACGTGCGGTGTCATCTCAGATGTATGAACGTTGTTGTTGTTGTTGTATACATTTATTTATCGCCTCGCGTAAAAAGGGCTGAATATTGGTTAGCATGTAAAATCGTACCCATTTGTAAGGTTTATTAATGGCAGATTAATTTATGACAGATTCCTATGGCGGGTAGTCGCCGTAAAAGCGACTTACATACACACAGATTAATTTATGAAATGAACGCCAAAATTACTTCATTTTTACTTAATACTTCCCGGCGACATCTCTACATTGCAGTGCATTCCACGAAATAGGTCATTCTCATCACAAGTCATATTATGAGTATACTGCAAGATATAAATAAAAATAAAATAACTAAAACGTTGGATGGATTTGAAACATGTTCGTCAATGAGTGCCCAGTAAGTCATTTCGTGTAAAATAAACTGACTTTACCGGGGTGTGAAAGTGACTTTAACAAAGGTTTCTTAGGTCAAAACGAAGGTTTTAAATTTTCTTTCGCCCCGAGGCTCAATAAAAAAAATGAACTTTAGGTTAAAGTTTCGTACACTAATCTCTTTTCGGGGGCTTTTCTCATACCGAGGTTAATTTAGACACAAATTAAATTCAAAGTTGTACATAACTCGGTTTTTCTCTCAGAAGAAGGCCTAATTTCCGCTTTGGCCAGTGTTGACGATGGCTGACTTCGGTCATTGGCTATAGCATCTACACTCACAATCAGTCTGAATCTAACACATTTTGCATCTATGTTTATACTTTGTAGTGGCAACACGAACCGATCGAAAATCAGCGGCAGTCTTAACTGATTTTCAAATCGCGGTCTAGTGACTAGATTCCTATTTATCGTGTTTAACAGAAGTCATGACCTGAATTTGATCTTTTTTTTCAGGACGATGGACAGTAGACGCTTTGCAGTTGACCCCATCAAACAAATACGTGGAGAAGCGAGTGAACGACTCCTACGTCGTCGAATGCTACGGAAAAGGAGCAGAAGACTACGCCTGGATAGGACCGAGTGGATCAAGGATACCCAATTCTGACTCCTCACATAGGTGAGGAATTTCTAGAATTCATTTTCTTTAAAATCTTTTTTTTTTTTAAAAAAAAGAAAAAAAAGTATGATGCAACTCGCATGGTAGTGAGAAGCATTGTACCAATGATGCAACTATAAAAATTCGTAACAAGTATGCGGTGTGTGTCAAAATGTTATGCTCCTCCTTCATGTTTAAGATTACAATCTATGCAATATAACTAAAAATACAAAAGATTGGCTCTGGAGCAAGTTTAGAAACCGACAAATTAAAAGACTTGGCCAATATTAGTCGTGTTCTGTTCGAAACAACGAAATGTTTCCGGTTTTTTTTTTGTTTTTTTTTTACGCGATTCTGAACAACCAATGAGAGAGCAACTTCCAATTTTAGGTTAGAAAACAGCGTTGCTTTTTTTGAACTACACAAAAACGACTTGCTTTGAGCACGTTGCAGTTGTTGTACAACAATGTTGCTGTAGAGGTTCCCAAATTTTGCGCGCGAAAATAAGCCCTGCCCTCATAACACAAAACAACTTCGAAGTAAATGCGATTGTTGCTCGTTTTCACAACATGTTGCGAGTGTTGCCTCCGAAAAAAATACGACAATTATCATAAAATCCCAAGTAACAATCGTATGGACTAAAATTAAAACGAAATAACGGAAGTCGCCTCTTACCGGCAATCAACATTATAAACACTCCCCGAAAGGTATGTTATTTTTGCTACACATCCATCTCTATGATGAAAATAAAAAGAGTAACGATTAACGCGTAACGTGTAACGCCTAAGGCATGAGGGCGCCGGGGGTGGGACCGTGAAGTGGTCAGGGAACATACTTTTCTTGTAGTTTCATAAGTCAAACTTAATGTGAGCTTATCATATACTTAGTTGTTATAAAGTCAAACTTATGCTAATCATTCATGTTTTGCAGAATACGTGTGGAGGAAGGCCGAGATTCTTTGGGGATGAGAGGCCCTCATCTCATGTTTGAGCATATCATGAAAAGTGACATGGGTGAATACAAGTGCTCAGCGCGGATGCAAGGACAGCCTGTTAGCATATCCTTTAAGCTCAATGTGATAAGTAAGTTAAACTTTTATCTCGCAAATTTTATGGGCATTTTTTTCAATGTCTTGCATTACATTTAAGCTGCTTACAAATAGAGGGTTATGGCTGAAAAGTACCACTACAGGATCCACGGTAACAGATGAAAGATCTATGAAAGATCGAAGGGATTTGAGAGAAGTTAAAGAATCCGCAAGTAATAGGTCGGTTGCACATTGTTGCACATACGAGATATGCATGAATTTCTGGAGCGAAATCAAACGAAACTGTTAGGCGCAATGCGTGAAGTATTCCTGCACCCTTGTAGGCGCGAATAAGCGTTTTGTTCCGACCAGTGACCGCACTGCGTGTTTGGCGTAATGCGTGAAGTATTCTTGCAGTCTTATAGGCGCTCACACGCGTTACCCGCCGACCGGCGACACTATGTGTTCGGCGTAATGCGTGCATTATTCCTGCAGTCTTGTAGTTGCAAATATGCGTTTTGTGTCTACCGGCGCTCGCACCATGTTTCGCGAGAGGAGCTACCATGGTATCTCAAAAACCTTAAGTCTCAAATTAATAAACGTATAGTGTTTATCATAGGAAATTTCGTGCTCCATATAAACGTTTAGGTGACATTTTCCAGGGATAGTGATTCTCTTTAAAATATAAGTGAAAACTAGGCGCTGGCGGCGTATTTTGCCTTCCCCCCCCCGCCTTCTTTCTAGATGGTGGCCCTCGTGGACAGCCTATTTCGGCCGGGGCCGGGGATCAGCGCTCAGGGGCCCGGATTGCTGGCGGGCACCGTACTTTTGCGAATTGCATACTCTCTAAATTGAAGGCATTTCAGCTGCAACGAGTTGCTGACCTGTATACATTATTTATGATTATGGATCAGAATGTCATTGAACCTTCTTGGTACTATTTCACACTAAACAATTTCCTCCGCATGTCAAAAAAGGTCATTCTCCTCTAACTTATCTCTGTTATGACTTGCCGATGGAAATGCGGCGTCCAAAATTAAGTTACGCCGCGGGGTTTTCCGATTGTACACCCTCGGCGATTCATGCCTTTAATTTATCAATCTTCCCTCTTTGCAGAGCCGATATCGTTTGGAGACACACCAAATCACGTGGATGGCACACCTGGAAACAAAATTCTACTGCCTTGTAAAGTAGACGGAGAGCCAAACCTAAGCATTCATTGGCAGTTTCAAGGACAACAGATAACAGGTAATAACTAAAACCACCCATCCTACCTGTATCGTCTTAATCAATCGAACAAAATGGCTTCGTTTTTCTAGCGGATTCTTGATACGCCTGTTAAAATACAGCCACGACTGCGACAAAAAATGCGAGAACACGAAAAATTGTCCTCATCCCAAACGGATCAAATTAAAGTCGCTTCGGTTTGGTCAATGACAATGCAGAGGCGGATCCAGCAATTTGGCAACACCATGGTGTTGAGGGTTGGAGGGTTCCTCCATTTAAACCTATGTTAAATAATCGATTCTTGTTGGACCACCTTGCCCCTCCAAGAATCGATACATTTCCATAGGCTCAACGGAGAAATATAATGTTGCCAATTTGCTGGATCCGCCAATGTGGCAATGATAATTTCCGACGACGCACAATGGATCGAGTCAATAGGAGAGGTCGGACAAAATTTGGAAACTTTAAACGCTTATAACTCCGTTAAATCAAAGTTTTGAGATTTTGAAAGTGTTTCCTTTGATTTCCTCGTGAAATTTTCTTCTCAAATCACCCCATAAAACTTAAGATGTGACGAATTAAACGTCAAAAAAGAGTTTCAGTCAAAAATTTCGTGTCCGACCTCTCTGATTGACTCGCTCCACTGTGCGACGGCTTTTTCTGGATGCAACTGCATCTGCATTCTGCTCTATGGATGTGTTGCCTACACAAAAAATTGTGGGCGTTTTGGCGTTCTCGATCACATCGCTCGGTAGCAATCGTGCTGATGGGATGTCTGCCTTGCATGTATTATCAACCAAAAAAAAGTCCTCTGAATTCAGATGAGCCGTGCGGAATGGCATTGCTACTGTTAACTGCTTTCATGAAAGCATGGTTTATTTGAAAATTGACTCACACAGACCACTCAAATAATAATAATGAAAATCCAAAAAAAATAAGATAGAAACCCGGATGAGTTCTTTTCGATTGAATATAAACATGAAAACTAGCTGTAATATTCGTCGCTAATATAAATCTTAACAATTTTTTTAACGGTTTTTGATCAGGGTATATTTCCACATTTTACGTTTGACATCACTTTTTCGTGCGCCAAATAATGGATGTTTTCAGCAACTCTCGTCAATCCACATAAATTCTTTGAATCACTATATCGGAGTCTTCCTTCCCAACTGCTTTAATTTATACGGCTGAAAGCGGGAAATTCCTTAATATTGTATTAACAATGAAATCAGTTGAAAGTAAAAGCGTTTTTATTGCTTTTACACACTATATAGCCAGTAAAGCGGCAAAAGGGTGGCGTTAGGCCATAAAAATCATATCCTAAACCCAATTTTTATGATCATCTTTGCAGATCCGAAATACACTGTAGTAGACAGAGGACTCGAGATAACTAACCCTACACTGGAAAACGCTGGCGAATATCAATGTCGCGCTTTACAAATGCAAACAGGAGACTTCAACTTCCATAAAATTATTTTACGATTGAAACGTAAGTATGTTGGTAACTTCGATATAGCTAATGGAATTTCACTGATCATATTAAGTTTTGTATTGAGAAGAAAAATTTGATTCATTGCATCAAGGATACTCGTTTCCTTGACAGTTGGTCGAGATGTTGAAGAAAGAGTCTGTCGCATCAAGAAAACAACTGACTGCAAATTTTATATTGACCGTACGACTTGCTGTTGTCTTAATCAGAAAAAATTGGTGTAACAAGGAAAGTTTTCGTTGCGACGAGAAAACTATCACTACTAAAACTGAAATTTCAGTTCGGGTATAGCATCAGCTCATTTCCTCCGCCATTTCCAATTAGTTTTTTTTTCAACATAGAGAAAATATTTGATCTGCGAAAGTTCTAGGAGGGTCAGCATGCTTAGAAAAAAACCTTTTGACTCTATTGACTTTTGAAACTAATCGCTATTCCCACCTAATTTTATTCTCCTTTGCCTCTTAATCAGATAAACCCATGTGGACATCAAACGACTCCGTCATCTATGGTTACGTTCATGGCACTGCCGACCTAAACTGTGCTGTCAGTGCGGAACCTGCCCCAATATTTGACTGGTACCGAAATAATCGGCAAGTTAAGCCTGTCACCGATCTCCATTCTATAAACACCTATTCAGTGGGCAATAAACACATTTCTACACTAAAAGTAAGTATACTTCATTCTCCTTCGTAAACTGATTTATTTATGAAATTCGTTCATATGTTTTCTTAAAATCTATCAAATTTTTGTCTTTTTGTATTCAACATGGGTCGTCCCCACTACATAAGGTGTCAAAAGATATGATATTTGAAAGCACAGGACAAAAAATTGCAAATTTCCAGGACGAGTTGCTAAAAGTCTGTCTGCTGATACAAAGTCTGAAAATGGAACTACAAAGAGTAGTCATAAATAACCTAATAAATAATCAAAAAACGGGTCCGTTGCATGCAAGGTGTGCAGCCAACTGAATACAATTTTAGGGGTACATTCACTCGAATATCACGTTGAACACATTTAAAAAGTCTATAAAACATTTCTTAGCTCGCAATCTGCGTAGTTTGTGATACGCTTTTTCAAATTATATCAAATAAGCTTAAATCAAAAGGAAATCCGCTCAAATTAAGAGTCTTGGTCCTTGATTTAAGCTTAAATCTGATTGAATGAAGAGTATTGTTTCTTGTCGATGTTCTTAAGAGTCTGGACTCTAGATCCAATGTGTTTTTTTCCGGTGTTATTTTTGCAAAATAAGGAGACAAACGCTTTAAATCGATTCAAATCATACAATAGAGGAAGTTAAATGTTTACTCAGGTTGTTTTTCTTACTCCTCTGTCTGTGCAAACGTGCGGCGGTGAGAAAAGTTGTCCGCAAACGTGGGAAACTTGAAAAAATCATGTTACAAATTTCGCAGATTGCGCGCTAAAAAATGGATTTCAGACTTTTTTCATGCACCTAACGTGATTTTCGTGCAATTTACCAATGAAGACGAGTATATGTATTTCTTCGTCTAAGTTTCTCACGTGCAACAGACCTATTACATAAAAACACGTGTTTAAATAACAAAAACATTTTACTCTTTAAAAATATTCTCAAGCAGGTAGAAAATGTTTACAAATCAGATACTTTTTATCAGCACGTTCGATTAAATCTCAGCTTAAATGCTCAAAAACGTAAAATCCCCGTATTTTTCATTAACTTAACTGTCCCCGAGTTTACATGTTTTGAAATCTGAAGCATTAGTCAGATAGAGGTATGAAGCAGTATTAATTATTTGTAGTAGTGGTGAAAATCGTTGTGCAACCAAGCATATTGTAAAATCTCATCTCGATTCTGCATTCATTTTGCTTTGACATTATTTTCAAGAAGATTTTTCATATTAAATTTTTTAAATTTGTGTAATCTCAACTTTCTTTTTCTGTCTCTTCAGATTAAGATCGTTGACAAATCAGCATTTGGGGACTATAAGTGCAAGGTAACCAATCCTTTGGGCACCATCAGCAAAGTTTTTGTCCTGAAAGAGGGAGTGAAGCCACCAAAACCGGAAAAAGTTCAACTACTCCAATATGGATCTAATTTTGCTCTGCTGGACATTCAAAGACCATTAAGAGAAGATACAGTTCTAGGGTACCGTGTTGAGTATATTGAAGGAAAGAAGGACAACAGTTCCAAGAGGTGGCTAAACGCCAAATTATTCAATTTTGATAAACGTGAGTACACTTTCTGCATACTTCACCTATAAATTGTCCTTTTAAATGCAATAAAATAATTTAAATCAAACGATGTCCTTAATCTTTGTCAAAGATAAGCAAAAGAGCTCCAAAAATGTTAAACAGCGTCCCTGAGGGAACGTTAGCATACCCGAGAACAATATAGAAGAGATTCTTTTATCCTCGCATCGAGCTGTGCTACACGTTTACACCATAAGGTCCGTTTGATTACAGCCTTTATGAATTTTGGTTTTTACAATTTGCGTGATCATCATTCGTACTTACATTATAGATTTCGTGGTAGATTTCATTGATCTACCTAAGTCCTGTAAAGCACGGAGCATATAGGATCAAAAGGGTGAAAGGGCATTTTTTGAGGAATCTAGGATGAATTTGTTACTAGATAGTGTTTGTAGGCATATCAAGATGTGAGTGCGACAAAAAATAAATTTTGGGGGTCTATCAGGAAACACACAGAAATATTGGAATACATCTGAAAAAGAAAATAGAAATAATGAATTCACGGAAAAGTCTTTATCGAGTAATGTATAATTCGCCTCATTTCATATTATCTATGTACTCCGAACAAATCCCTGAAGTTACGCCATTTAAACATTAGGATCCAAAAAGCACACTTCCGTATGTTCTCACATAAAATCTACATAGGATACTTTGATTTTAGAAATCCTCAAGTCTAATCAATCACCCTGGCTGTAAGCTGTGATTTAAAGTTTAGGTAAAGAAAATTAGGGCTCTCGCGGTTCTCTAAAAGTTGGAAAAGGTGATTTTATGTTTTTTTTTATTCAAAATGTTTCAATTCTGAGGGGTAAAGGGTATCCCGGGATAAGCATGTCAAAATGCCCTTGTGAACGGATTTTTATTTTAACCATTTTAAGTCATCAAGGGTGTCCTAAAACTTAGGTTTCGGGGAATTTTAGCCTCCCAACCCCCTCCGCCCCCCAAAAACCGCTTTTTGGGGCTATTTTTGACTATGCTAACGTCTTTTCCTCATAACTTTCGTAATTTTCGATAGAATTGAACCAAAATTTTTCAGAATCTACATCAATTAGCTTAGTTTTTGTAGAAAAAAATTCATTATCATCGGATTATATTTTAGCTTCTAAAAAAATTCGTAAAATTTTAAAAAAAAAATCATTTTTCTCCTTTTTTCGCGCTAGGTGACGCATGGAAACGAGGACACAAACAAAAATTGCCTCTTTTCTTAAGTTATACATCCAATAAGATCCAGAAAAAATTTCGTGTTGATCGGAGTGGTGCGCCATACTTAAAAACGCAATTTTCTAACCTCAAAACGGCCAAAATGCCACCATAGCCTCCTTTGATGACTAGGCGTGGAGAAATATGTAGAGAGAAACATCCGGCTTTATCGTCTCACCTCTTAAGTGATCCACTTAAGTACCTTGAGCCAAAATTTCGAGTTGATCAGAATGGTGCGCAACACCCAAGCACGCAATTTTCTAACCTCAAAACGGTCAAATTGCCCATTTCGGCACCCATTATCACTCCGTGTCAAAAAATAAGGAGAAGGACATCCGGTTTTATCATCTCACCTCTTAAATGATCCACTTAAGTACCTTGAGCCAAAATTTCGAGTTGATCAGAGTGGTGCGCAACACCCAAGCACGCAATTTTGTAACCTCAAAACAGCCAAATTGCCCATTTCGGCTGATTTCGGCACCCATTATCACTCCGTGTCAAAAAATAAGAAGAGGGACATCCGATATTATTGTCCTACCTCATACATTAGACACTTAAGTACATTTAGTCGAAATTTCGTGTCGATCAGAGTGGTGCGCAACACCCGAACACGCCGTTTTCTTGTTAATTTAGTTACTAGAATTTGCCAGTACCTACTCAGTGCACTACTACGTATTATTGAAGTTTGGAGGAGGGAACGCTTCTACGTGGGGGATGTGCGAGCCTCCCGATTTGAGTCCCAATTTAGTCGAAATTTCGTGTCAATCAGAGTGGTGCGCGACACCGGAACACGCCGTTTTCTAACCTGAAACCTCCCAAAATTCCCATTTTGGCATTCATTATCACTGTATGTCAGCGACGAGCCCGCTTGAAAAGTGCATGATGCACATTTCAAAGTTCATTTTGGCACCCTACCGCGTAGCAGACCCGATCACTCAGCGAAACCTCTGAACTCCCAGGAATTATATGACAGTAGGGAGGTTTGCACATCCCCCACGTAGAAGCGTTCCCTCCTCCAAACTTCAATAATACGTAGTAGTGCACTGAGTAGGTACTGGCAAATTCTAGTAACTAAATTAACAAGAAAACGGCGTGTTCGGGTGTTGCGCACCACTCTGATCGACACGAAATTTCGACTAAATGTACTTAAGTGTCTAATGTATGAGGTAGGACAATAATATCGGATGTCCCTCTTCTTATTTTTTGACACGGAGTGATAATGGGTGCCGAAATCAGCCGAAATGGGCAATTTGGCTGTTTTGAGGTTACAAAATTGCGTGCTTGGGTGTTGCGCACCACTCTGATCAACTCGAAATTTTGGCTCAAGGTACTTAAGTGGATCATTTAAGAGGTGAGATGATAAAACCGGATGTCCCTCTCCTTATTTTTTGACACGGAGTGATAATGGGTGCCGAAATGGGCAATTTGACCGTTTTGAGGTTAGAAAATTGCGTGCTTGGGTGTTGCGCACCATTCTGATCAACTCGAAATTTTGGCTCAAGGTACTTAAGTGGATCACTTAAGAGGTGAGACGATAAAGCCGGATGTTTCTCTCTACATATTTCTCCACGCCTAGTCATCAAAGGAGGCTATGGTGGCATTTTGGCCGTTTTGAGGTTAGAAAATTGCGTTTTTAAGTATGGCGCACCACTCCGATCAACACGAAATTTTTTCTGGATCTTATTGGATGTATAACTTAAGAAAAGAGGCAATTTTTGTTTGTGTCCTCGTTTCCATGCGTCACCTAGCGCGAAAAAAGGAGAAAAATGATTTTTTTTTTAAAATTTTACGAATTTTTTTAGAAGCTAAAATATAATCCGATGATAATGAATTTTTTTCTACAAAAACTAAGCTAATTGATGTAGATTCTGAAAAATTTTGGTTCAATTCTATCGAAAATTACGAAAGTTATGAGGAAAAGACGTTAGCATAGTCAAAAATAGCCCCAAAAAGCGGTTTTTGGGGGGCGGAGGGGGTTGGGGGGCTAAAATTCCCCGAAACCTAAGTTTTAGGACACCCTTGATGACTTAAAATGGTTAAAATAAAAATCCGTTCACAAGGGCATTTTGACACGCTTATCCCGGGATACCCTTTCAAATAGAAAACTCTCTACACGTTACCAAAACAAAGAGCGAATCTGGACGATATTAGTCTTGTAAACACACTTTTTTTACTTTTTTTCGCGAGCAAAACCTGGCAAATTTATCAGCTTAACAATGTACAGCGGCGTAGAGGCTGCAAGTTTTTGGAGTCTCAAGTTGATAAGTACAATTTGAGGAAAACGTTAAAATATTGGTAATTTCAAATTAAACTAGTATTAAAGTATACCCCTCAGAACAGTTAAGTTTCAAAATTAAGACACAAAATCTATGAGGCTCTCATACTTCAAATTAGTTTTTCTCAGGAGCAGGAAGAATGCACCCTCGTCGACTTTTGGTTTCAATAGTTGAATACAACTTTCTGTCCATAAATTGTGCGTCGTTCCGAAGTTTACCTCTTTTTTAAAAACAGCCTTTCAAAAATATTCAAATTTTCATCGAAAGATAGCTCAAAATTCACAGTTTGGTTATACAATTTTGAAAAATTTCCCGAGGGTTTCTCCTCCGGAAATTTTTCAACTGGGTGGTATTCCATACCCCCCAGACCCCCCGGTGAGTGGCCCCCCCCCCCCTTAAAGAATTCTTAGCTCCGCCACTGACGATGAACATGACACTGTTGCCAGATCCACCGGGGAGTCCGTCTGAATACCGGCTGACAAACCTGACGGAGGACACCTGGTACGAGCTGCGGGTAGCCTCTCGAAACGAGGCTGGGATCAGCGAGTTCGCCTTCCTGGATGGTGCCTTCAAGACGACTCCAGCGGCGACCAGCTCGGTCTCCACGCTAGTGTTCAATGTCATGGTTCTCCTACCAGCTATTGTGATATCCTTCGTCTGCAGGGCTTGAGGGCCCTGCGCCCATCTCATTCTTGTGATATAACCAGTGGCTCTGGTTTCTATTCAGTCAATAGACCATAGATCATAGATCATATACTTAATGCGTTACTTTGCGGTAGCCTCATGCTTTTACACCGCCGCATATGCGCCCACCGCAAGAGCGGTTTTCATGTGCTCATTCCTTGATAGCCTTCAAAGGCATAAAGGCTCGTGAATCGTAATCATGCATGCCGCTTTTGCGCGTTCATACTTCAAGCATGGTTTAAACCACCCGACACGAGGACATTTCTGCCGCGCTAAGGAGGAACGCCGTATGAACATTCGAGAGTTGCTTTTCCTTTGATAAAATGTTCATTATTGAGGAAACTCGTGAATATTTTCCCTGGAAATTTTTAGAGCTTTTCGGTGAATTTGCGAACAACAGTATTTGAAAAATTGTAAGAAAACTATTCATATATTTCGCAGGAAATTCGTGATTTATCAAAGGAAATTTGGCAACGCCTGAAGGTTCATACGACGTTTTTCCTTAGCAAGGCAGAATTATGGAGTAGTCTATTTTAATAGATTAGGTACCAATTAGGAAACGTTCAGAGAAAGAATAGTTGGACCGCCTCAAGTAGACAAGAACCAAGCCACATCAGCTGTTGCCAAAAACTGGGCAAGTTAATTTGTTTACAAGTTAATTTTTTGCCAAATTAAATATGGCAGCAGCCGATGTGGCTTGGTTCCTTTCTGCTTAACGCGGTCCAGTTGGCATCCAGGGGGAAAAAATGAACTAAGAAAAGTTTTGAGCTTATCTCGAAATACGTATGTATGTTTTTTCCGGCCAAAAATTTCAAAGTCTGCAAAAAGTATTTTGTATACGAAACATTTTCTCAAACTTTGTTCTCTATTCCATACTTGAGACCTACTTTTCTCCGTCCCAAGTCAATGCAATTGATTAATTTTCAATCATAGCTGTCCTCGATGTTAATGAAATAACCTGACTTTGATCACAGCGATGATGAAGGTGGATGCTGAGTAAATTTGAGAGCCAGTGCATACCAGAGGAGCTCAATTGCATGCAATGTTGTAAAGTTTAATTGGACAGTAGATTTATTTACTCGAGAGAGGTTGCGTAGTTTCTCCCAAAAATGTTCGTGAATATTCAGCGTAATTTAACAACAATTTCTCAAGGTTGTAATATATATTTTGCACAATCATTCTGATAATGAATAAATTTTTCAGGCAGAATGTTAATGCATTGCAATGTTGCAGTGAAACTCATAATCAGCCTCTCTTGCCAAGACACCTTAAAAGTAGCATTCAGGTGCCGTTACGGCTGAAAACGATCCATGAATTTTGACCCAACGATAATGCATTGACAACGAAATTCAAATTGGAGTCTTGTTTGCAACTCTCCTTGAGTTCCAATTTTGAGATCTGTATCTTGGCGGGAAGTTAGATGATCACAATGATTAAGTCCAGATTTTTAGATACCAATTTTTAAAAAAATGTATTGCTCAGGTTGACGTTCAAGGAATAATAATAGCATGCATGCACATTAGTAATTAGCACTTACTAAAATTGCTGCTCTTGAACGAAACTCAATCTCTTTTCATTGAGAGAAAAATTTCAAAAATAATAAATGTAGTTTGTAAAGCGTAATTCTTCGTTTCTCTCATCAATGTCTTCAGGAAGTCTGCATTTGGGATGGCCAATCTTTGTCAATGCAACAAGCCTCTGCGAGAATAGAATACAAAATAGATCGTCTTCCCGGGGTGCCGTGGGTAATATTGCAAAAGAAGGGAATTAATTGGAGCATAAACTGGCACATAGAAGAAGATATTGCTGCTAAGAAAAACATAGAACATACGAAGTTTGAGAAGTCCATTAGAGAATTAATAATCTTAAATACCTCTGAAGGATATTAGCATTTTTCTACGAGTTAAGCTGAATTTGATGCCTTTAGGATATGAAAAGATACGAAGAACAATGGAATAGAATTAAAGTGGCCAATTTTCACGAGTGTAAATGTAATTTAAATACTGTCAGACGTGTTAGAACTCAGGTTCAAACTTTTTGAGTTGCACCTTGGTAAAATAAATATGTGCATAAATCTAACATAATTATTCCATGTGTTGGGCCCACAGCCTCTTAGAGTCATAATTTTGATCATTATGCTAGCTACAGCTTAAAAATGAAGGAGACAGTCAATTTTAATTAACTATGTAAGTATGGGTATATATCATGTGATAACTTCTATTCTCCTTTTTTTGCTCTTTGTTCGAACATTTCAATTTTTTTACGGTGGATTAGTTCAATGACGACGGATCTAGAAATGAGATACTTTATGTAGGTGGTGTTTTGTGTGGAACCAATCACACAGCAACCAAATGTAAAAATGTATCATTCATTTAATAAAATCTGCCTGAAAAAAATAACGTCGTAAGTTCAGAGGTAATATTTGATCTCATCGTCAGCATAACCTCGCTTTCTCGTTTTCTGCATGAAGCGTTCGTGATTAAATCTTGCTGATTTTTTTTAAAATTTATTATTTTTTTTAAAAATTCCTAACCAAAGAGGAAATATCAACTTTTCATTTTTTCCGACGTTTTTGACTTGTGAATTAATAAAAATCAAATATGTAATGCTTCGTAGCAGGGTTCCAAAAACTTTGTACCAAAATAATTTTAACCCAAAGTTGAGTTGTTAGGACGAACAAATTTTATAGTGTCTCCGTTCCAAAACAAAAGCCCAGGGAATTCTAGCTACCTTAAAACTTTATATGTCCTCAATTTTCCTCGTTCTTGTAATTTCTTCATAAAATGCAATGTTACTGCCACATTAATTTTCTGCAAATAAATTAACTCTTTGTCGAGTTTGCTGGTGTGTGAATGTCCAATTTTCTACTCGTTTCAAAATTGTTCTCAGAGGATTTTAGTTTCATTTAATTAGCGCACGTACATCTGTTACTTGGAGCAACAACTTGGAGTAAAAGAAAAAAAAAGAAAGAAAAAACTTGATACTGCACGGATTATCCTTAAAATTTGCTTCGAACTGCCCAAGATTACCTATGCATTTTCTACAATACCTATTGTAATTAGCATCATAGCTAATTTGATGAAATTTTACATGTACTCGTATTTTATAGTGAAGATCTCATGACAATGGAACTATCCATGTACACATTATACTAATTAATTGTAATTATTAACTGCATTTACCGTTAATGCTTCGTTGGGAACTGTCTTCTCACTTGCAATCGTTAGTAATTCTCTACTAATTTGATTCAGGAAACAGTGACTGAAAATAGCTCAAGTTTCCAAATTTTTTTACCACCATTACTTTTTTCTCTCAAAAAATACCAAGGAATTGCGCGCAAGACCAATTTAAATAGAAATCAACAACTAGCTCTTGTCAAAAAAGAAAAAACAAACTAAACGAAGGGTGCAATCTCTTTTTATTTTTTAGTGATTTTTTGTTTGTTGACCATCTATAACTGAAATGCATTCCGTTTTTATGTAAATTGTTTGTAAATATTAATTTTAATTATTCTGCTGTACTTTTTGAGTGTTATTATGTTAATTAAATGTTGAATCTTGATGATATTAATGACTTAATAAGAAAATTTACCTAAGGAAGGGAAGACTAATTGTGTAGGCAAATGATCCAAGTTGTGATCACCGAAATTAAATGAATTGTATTTTACAAAAAGGAACTAAGAGCATTCCAATGTTGCTAGGATTGTACAACTTAGATACTTTGCAATAAAATTACTGAAATCGTGCAAAAAATTAAATTTACCAACGCAATTTTTGTCGTGAATTAATGCTGTATTGGGAGTAAAGATAGAAATTGTTTAAACGATCAGTTTATATTTGCAAGGTAAAAATGGTTGAAGGTGCTCAATGGGTTCTACCAACACAAGGATATCCATAAATTTACTTGGGTTCAGTCTACTCGCGGATTGAAATCAATCATTGATTATGTGGTTGTTAGACAAGACACGGGAATGAAGATTCAGCAAGTTAGAGTGTGGAGAGGTCTTTCCTGCGGCAGTGATCATTATTTCCTCGGGGCGAAAATAGCTTTCCCAGTGAAAGGGAGCCAGGAGACCAGGCAAGCACAGGAACAGGTTCACCAACAAAAAGATCGTGTCAAGCTTGTGAACTTTAATATTGACAGCTTGCAGCATCCAAGTGTAAGGGCTTTATATGGAAAGCGCTTGGATGAGAAGTTGGGCGAATCAAGGGACGGTGATACCGAACAGCAGTATCAGTTCTTAAAGGATTGCATTCACTCGGCAGCAATGGAGGCTCTTGGTGTCGCTGATGATAGGAAAGTTAGCGAAAAACCTTACTGGTGGGACGAGGAAATTGAGAAGGAGATTCAGGAGAAACGGAAAAAATATCATCAGTTCCTTTCCTCTAAAAAAACAGAAGACAAAGAGGCGTATAAAAAAGCTCAGACCCAGGTACGAAGGCTCATAACCAAGAAAAAGAAAATCTTGGGAGAGGAGCTGTAACAAAATAGACACGTACATAGGAGGAAGGAAAAGCACTGAGAGCTGGAAGTTGCTGAAAGGGCTGCGAAGGGACATGAAGCGGGACTTGATATCTCCGATATCCATTGATAAACTGGAGGGTTATTTTAAAAATTTACTGACAGAAAGGCGACCTGAATTTCAAGATGGAGGTGTAAGCTTGGAGTATACTAACGATAATCATAACTTGGAGATCCATATGGAGGACGTGGTTAAGGCCGTACGAGAGCTGAAGAACGATAAAGCTCCGGGTCCGGGAAATATTCCTGCTGAGTTGATCAAGTGTGGAACCTGCAAGCTGTTTCAACGGTTGAGATACCTGATGCAAGATTGCTTGGACGGTGGAAAGGTACCGACAGAATGGAAAGAGTCTTGGGTGTCACCTATATACAAGAAGAAGGGTAGAAAAGATGAGTGTGATAACTATAGAGGACTGTCGGTTGCAGGTACCCTAAGCAAAGTGTATGGAAAAATCCTGAAAGCAAAAATCGAAGAGGAGTGGAAAGAACATGAAGCGGAAGAGCAAGCAGGTTTCAGAGCCGGTCGGTCAACGATTGATCACTTATTTACCATCATCCACGTCATCGAGAAAAAGAAGGGAGTTGGCCAGGAATTACATCTAGTGTTTGTGGATCTCCAGAAAGCTTACGACAGTGTGCCATTGATGAAACTTTGGGAAGCCTTAAACAAAAGGGGTTTTAGTGGGGGACTAATTAGTGCTATTAAGGAATTTTATGGTGGGGCTTTTTCTAGGGTTAAATCGCATGGGGACTTATCGTTGGGGTTTTTAATTACTAAAGGACTGAAACAAGGGTGTTGTTTGTCGCCAACCTTATTTAAAGTGTACCTGGAAGAAGTTTTAAAGGAATGGAAAAGATGCTGTTCGGGAATGGGCGTCCCGCTACGTGAAGATGGCACCCTTTATACTCTGTGCTTTGCTGATGATCAGGTGGTAATAGCTCAGGACGAAGAAGATGCGAATTACATGACGCGGAAGCTAGTGGAAGTATACCGAAAGTGGGGAATGGAAGTAAATGTGGTTAAGACGGAGAAGTTGGTTATCGGTGGTGATCAGCAAAGCATTGAACTGGAGGATGGTCGGAAAATTCAGGACTGTGAAGAGTATAAATATCTAGGAGTTTGGTTAACTAAGGACGGAAATTTGGATCGGGCTATTAAAGATCGGAATGTGCAAGGCAGGAAAGCTATCGCGATGCTGAATGGGGTTCTCTGGGACCAGAGTATCTCCAAGGAGACCAAAAGGAAAATTTACAACGTCATCGTGAAGAGTATCGTAACTTACGGGAGTGAGGTCTGGCAACTCAAGAAAAGAACTGAAGACATGCTTAGGGCAACTGAGATGGACTTTTGGCGGAGGTCTGCTGGCATCTCAAGAAGAGAGCGTATCCGCAATGTAAAAGTACGCGAGATCATGGGTGTAGAGAAGGACATCGTGCACGATATCAGGTCCAAGCAGTTGGTCTGGTATGGACATGTGCGAAGGATGGCAGACGACCGGTTGCCCAAGCAGGTCTTCGATTGGGTTCCTCCCGGAAGGCGACGGCGTGGACGTCCTGTGAAAGGTTGGCGACAAGGGGTGGAGGAGGAGATCAGAAGGTGCCAATTGCCTGATGATCTCTGGGAGGATAGGGGGCAATGGCGATTGGGCGTCGCAGAGCGCGAGGCGGCGCTTTAAAAGCGACTTTATGTATGTATGTAAAAATGGTTGCACAATCTTAGCGATATTGGAATGCTCTTGGTTCCTTTCTGCAAAATACAATCATAATGATACTGAAATCCCAGCACTGAAGAGAGCGCAGCACCAAACTTTCAATGTTTCTAAATTGCATTCCGGAACAGTTGCAAAATGACAAAATGCGTAGGTCATGAAAGGAACCTGAGGTGGCTCTTAAGCAGGTTGGAGAAAAATTCGACAACAATCGATCAATAATTGGTAACGTCTGGATTTTTCTGAAAAATTTCAGAGCATAATATAACGGTGTAGTACCCTAGGTATTTGCACACAGAATTTGATCGAGAAACATTCGGAATCAATTTTAAAAGTACGCTCCGAGTAAAATTGCAAATAGTGTTTCCTTTCAACTTGCAACATATATTCTAGTTTTGCTTTTAAAGCTGAATCCAAATGTTTCTCCGTCAAATTCTTCGTGGAAATGCCTGACGTATTACGGGATAATGTGATACTCGGCAATGCTTCAGAAAAATCCATGTATTATCAATATTGATCGATTGATTATAAAATCATTATCCAAAGTGCTAAGGGGCCATCTTAAGACAGTTGCAGAGAAAATATCAAATGCATTTAATCTGATCATACAAGCGTTTGAAAACTCGGGCATTTCTACATGCAAAAACTAGTCAATTTTTTTCTATTCAATTTCATTTCTGGTGTATTCTGTTACATTATTTTCCGCAAATTTTTTGCTCAGATTTGTTTACATGTACCAAATATTTGGATGTACTACAATATTCGTTTTTACACAAGGATTAATTTCCTACAGCATAACGTCTCCCTCCCTTGCAGTCACATTTCCAATTTTTACTGTAACCCTCCTCTGATCCTAGTTAAGACAATAAATTAATTTCCTGTCAAAAATTTTTATTTTTCATTTTAGCGCCTATCGATGGATGGAAACTTAGTAGCCGTCCTGGCCATCATCGTAGCACGGCAGTTTAGACATTTCATGCAAAAAGGTCATCGAAGGAGAAAAAGTTTCATATGAAAATCTGCCTGTTACCGTGGTAGTTTAAAGGAATTTAGCGTGAAGCGACGCGACGGCAAAAAAAAAAAAAAATGGCTTCGATGAATTCTCATCTAGTTATTCAGAAAAATACTAAAAAAAAGAAAACATTAATTTTCCAAGAAATGCGTAAAACCTCTCGCAAATTGTACGTGTACTTGTAGATGTAGCACACAAAACGGGCATTACATTATGCTGTCGTCTCAAGGAGAAACACCGTATGAGCGTTCAGACGTTGCAAAATATCCTTTGATAAATTACTCATTTTCAGGATAATTTGTAAATCTCTTTTTTTTCGATTTTTAAGATGAGTGTAAGCGAAATTTGATAATTAGTGTCTGAGAATTCTGAGGAAATGATTTTTAAATTTTCTTTTAAGTAAATATTTTTTGAGAGGAATTTCCGACAATATTCGAATCCTTATACTGCGTTTCTCTTTAGCACGTCAGTATAGACATTTCATACGAAGAGGTCATTGAAGGTGAAACAGTTTCAAATGAGAGTTTGCTTGTTACCACGATAGTTCATAAGGATTTAGCGTGAAGCAACGCGACGGCAAAAAAACGCCTTCAATGAATTGAGTAGGCACACCGAGCTCCTAGAAGGTCGAATAGTGGTATCACGCTCAAAAGCACATTACCTAGCACGACGCGCGACGTAACAAAAACCGTCTGGATTTTTGGTGATATTTTAAAGATGAATGTCTAGGACTTGTGGCGAGCGCCAACAGTTATCCGTATCATGCAGATTTTTCTGAATGAAAGGTCCGAGTCCGCGGGCATTTCCCATAAAGATTCGTGGAAATTAAGTTCGCAGGATGGTTAGGTTCAATCATCAACATTGAAACACCCAATTTTGCTGGTAAATAATCTGAGGGAGTCTAAAACAGTTTGCAATTATTATTATCGTGGCATATTATTGAATGCACAATTTTTAAAATGCTAAAAAATAAACACAAACGTGATCATTAAAATTTGAGCCCTTGTACACTACGAGGATTGAAATTCTCAGAGCATTGTCCTGACATTACCTTAGAATATTGTTCCTTTTCTTTTTCTTTTATTTTTTTAAAAAAAGAAACTCCTTTTAACGTTTAAAATATCAACTACTTTTTCACATGTTGCAAATGTGATTTCTTTGGAGAACAGATAAGGCTCGAATTCTACGAGGTCAGTGATTATTTTGAAGAGTATTGTTTTACTCATTTCAGCATATTTACAATATCTCCAAAGCCAACAAACGTGCATCATGTATGTAATCTGGTGAAAATGGCATATAAAAATGGTTTTGGGGGCAAACCTGATGCTACTGAAGCTGGTGTCAAAAAATAATTTGTGGAAGATATTAACAGCAGAAACGCAATTTTTCATTTCTTTAACGAAATCTTTTATGCTGTTGATTCTTCCTACATGTTTGTTGCAAAAAGCAACAATAAAATAGCTATTTCGGTCTTAAAGTGAGAAAAATTGTTGTCGTGAGTGGTACCACAATCTGTGGAGAATATCTCGAACCCTTCACTCAGCTTACTAACCCGTAGTGTGGGTCCACTCTCTGTGCAAATGTCGTTTTGAGGCTATAGTAGCTCATCTTCGATGAGCATCAGAGGCAGATCCAGCAATTTGCCAACATTGTCTTTTCTCCAAATAAACCTATACTAAATAATCGATTCTTGTCGAAGCACTGGCCCCTCCAAGAATCGATACATTTCCATAGGTTTGGATGGAGAAAAGACAATGTTGCTAATTCGCTCGATCCGCCAATGATGAGCATTTGACAAAATTTAAATCCTTCATTCTTCCCAGTCAACTGACGAAACAATGTTCAATTCAGGGAGGAAAGGGATGGTTAGGCAAATATACAATTTGTTACAGATGAGTCACCATGGTTTGTCAACTGCTCGCGATCCATCATCGTCAGTCGCAAGAATATACAACAAGAATAATCTTTTCAGGAAAAGTGATTTTAAAAAAGAGGAAAGTATTTGCATGTTTGATTGATCTGCGCTTTGTTCTGTTCAATAGCTTGTTTTTTTATTTTTTTATTTTAAATATTCGAAGAGTTGCAATACGTAACGATACGGTTCCTTTGGGTTTTGCACAGAACTGTTAAACCGAGGGAGTGGCTAACTTGTACTAACTAATGTCTTTGCAGAGGTGTGTATGTGATCGGATCTGTAATACGGGACAATATCTATGCAGGAGAACATTTTCCTTAAATTTACGCAAACATTTAAACCACGTTATTAAGATTTTTTTGTCTTGGACCTTCAGGACTAATGACTCGTTCAGTTTTTGAAATTCTGGGGTAAGCTTGCGCAAAAGGTTCACATTTTCTTCTTTCATGCTTTTGGAAAAAGTCCAACGGAGGCTTTTTCTCGAAAAATAAAGTCCCTGTTTATGGATCCGGTCATATTTTTTTAAAGTAAATCAGCTCTTTAGTGCGAACAAGTCAACATAAGTGGCTCCAATAGAGCAACGAAAATTACATGGGGAAAAAAATATTTTAAGTATTCAAATGCATTTACCGTCGTGTTTGAGCTGTTTTACTCATACACTTACCTCTCTTCCTTTTATCTCTAGAAACAATTTGTAACGAACTTATTCAGCAACTTTTGGCGAGCACCGCAGCAAGAAGAATTCAAAGGAAAAGAACAGAACTCCAAGTTGAAAAGCCGAATAAACGACTGAAAAAAAAGAACCTAAAGTAAATTCCAGTGAGGATCGATTGCTGCATGCTCGTTTTAAATAACCAAACATTTTTTTATTGACTTTAACACTTTATTTACATATTTTATAATATTTTTACTAGAAAACAAAACAATAAATTTAAACAAATCAACAATTAATTTCTTTCTACCAAAATCTATCTTCAAAATTAGTTTATGTATTTATACCTAACCTCAAGGATATTATTGTTAACAAGGGTAATATTTTTCATACAAAATAAAAACAAATGAATGAAGGAACTGCTTAAATAAATTCTGAAGTAAGTTAATAAGCATTTTTTATGAACAAGTACGAGGGAGTTTAAATTAAAAATATCGATACAAAATTAAATAATCCAAGAGATTGAACATGTTTTAAATAAGCTGAAATCAGACATATTCAGGTATAATATTATTTAGGCGGTCTTTTATTCTTACAAACGATCGTAAATGATAATAATAAGAAACAAATACAGAGAAATGTGTAAAAAAAAGAATCACACATATGTATCATGATTATTAGATGACGACAAAATGGTTTTTGCAGGGAATGAGCCTTTTGCATTGTAATCTAATATCAAAACAAACTTATGTAGGTAAGTAATACAAAATGGTGACAAACATTATACAAAGTTATGCAAAAAGAAAAAAATTAAAAGGAAGGAGAATGAAAAAGAAAAATACCTACACCGACCTGCTTAGGCTGATTTTCTTCTGTTAGAAACTCAACGAGAGAACCGAAATTGAAAAGGATCATGGTTATTTCTGTTTTAATGAGAACATTTTAACTGTGACATTTTCCCTCAACAATGTCTTTATTTCAAGAAAATTGCCCCCGGTTTCGTAAATAGCAAAAATTACGTTGAAGGCTGTCAGTTCATTCAAATACACGTTCAATTCAAATCATTTCAATCAAATCATTTCAATCAATTCAAATAAACGTACAACGAGCACACCCGAAACAAATTGTTCGAAAACATATATGCCATACATATGCCATCGGATTGGGCTTTTTTATTTTTTCTGCGGATGCAATTTTTGCAAAAAAGGCACAGAAAATGAGCGATAGAGCTCCATTTAAATTCCATCTCATCAGAACACGAAGAAAAGTTAACTCGATCACAGAAAAATGTTTTTGTCATAAAGAATTTGTGAAATGAAACATAAAATTATCAAACGATTTCATGATGGCAAGACAATTTTTAATATCACTGTAAGATTTCAAGTGCTTGGCATGATAAGAAACTTTTTTTGATTTTTAGAAAAATTAGACCAGAAAAACGGGGTTCCTCTGATAATTATTACGAATTTTTCTCCTTGTACCAGATCGATGCTACTTCTAACTTTGAAATTGGTGAGGGTCGACTCAGTAGGTTTTGGTAAATGATTTTTCAGATCTTATTTGATTTGTATTTCACGATAGCAATGAGGAACAGTTAACGATTTATTTTAATTCATTTTTTTTTTCTTTCTTATTTTTACTGTTTATTTTATAAGAGCTGGGTACATTGTAAAACTACGGGGTACGCCCTTTGACCGCTTTGCGGCCCAATCTCTCGAGACGCTCTGCGCCTTGCTTAATGACGTCCAAGTGGACGTCATTAAGCAAGGAGCGGTTATCCACGGTTGCTCATGTAACTAAGGTTTTATCTCCTGAAAGATCATGAATAGGCAAGTACCAGCTACACATTCACATTAAAAACCAAAATAGGGACACTTTCTTGAAAAAGAAGAGGAAGAAAATAATTGTGATTCATTAAAAAAAGAAAGAAAGGAAGGATGAAATTGTGTGCCCATTCCTCAGTTCTCTTCAATGCAATTGGAACTTCAGTCGATCGTCATGATGGTAGGTTCTACTAAATTGAATCAAAACTCACAGAAAAATATAGTAACTGAGTAACATAAAAGCCAAAAATTATGATACAATACAATTCTAGATAAACTCGCATTTACTCGTGCGAGTAAAATTGGTGTCGTACACTACTGAAGAATTGGTTCCTTTCCCTGATTAAAGCAACTCCTATGCTCTACTCAAACCATTCGGCCTACTGTTATCGAATTCTTAATGTAGCCACGGCGATTTAGGCTAATTAAAATAGACTCTTGTCAGCGGCCGAGTAGAACGATGATTCCAATCAGTTCATGACAGGTACAATTCCTTCTTAGTTAGACTAGTGTGCGGCGAGGGTAAGAATGAATTTTTTATTTTTATTAATTTTCTTTTTTTACAGACAAGCACCATCTACATCAGTGAAATTTTGATTACATGAATGAAAACAGACGGATATTGAGGGTTCACTTTTGCATCGTTAGTTACCTGCGAGTTCAGTTCTGGCAATTATATTGTGGCAAGTCACACAGTAGATATGAAGCATTGTTTAGTCGGATGAATAAAAACAGTAAAATCATACACGCTTGTTCTTTCAATGAAATATACGGTCTGAGAAATTCCATACGAGTGATCATGACTTATACCATCAAAAAGTAGCGATAATTGTTGCATAATACATTCAAAGGTATACATCTTTGCTGTTCTAAGTACTGCGTTTTTTTCTGGGTTTTTTTTAAGTTGGCAATTTTTGTTTTTGTTTCTTCAGATATTCGGGATTTAAAAAAAAAAAATCTTCCAAAATTAATCACCCCAAAACGTAATTTCTTTTACTCAATTTTTATTTTAAGGTAAACAATGTAGGTATGGTGCCAGTGCGTGTCCACATGAAACGCAATTCATAAAACATGTCCTTGATGAAACAAATTCACCATAATATGCTTGTGTTCGATCGATCCATAATGGATCGGTTTTGTATCCAAGTGAAAGGAATACCTTAACACCGGATGGGAATACGTGTTTAATTAGAGCACAGAAGACAAAAGAATTTTGAATCAGCAGCCTAAAAGCTTTGGACGTACATATGGAAAATGCTAAAAAGGTATAATTCATTTGTGCAACTTGTCACTGAGATTTTATTCGCTCGGAAAGAGACTTGCCTGAACTTCTCATCGCGGTATTCAGTAAAATAATCGCAAAAATATTCTCAGAAGCCTAACTATATTCAATACACATACACATTATAAGTTGCTGTTTTATTAGTCCATAACTTCGTATTAGATAAAATTTTTACATCAGTAAAAAAGAAATATATACTTACAGAGTAAAACAATATGAGACGCTGAGTTACGATAAGTATTTTTCTTTAATGCAACCGGAAATGTATCTACTGTGGCAGTAAAATATGAAAAGGTCACATTTTTCTCTATAATAAATATATTTCGATAACAAGTTTCCCTAAACTCATTTTCCTTGTCACCAAACAAAAACAGTTTACATATAGTACAAATTCAAGACCAGGCAACACTTTATATTGCTTTTACAAAACTTTCAAAAACGACAATGAGATTATTGGGAGAATTTATAAACCAGTCAGCTCCGAATAGAGGAACTCACTGAGCACTACTAAAGAATCATTCCATGCTGGAGGACGTAAAATATTTTGACCAAATTATGAATACTTCTTTTCTTTGCCTTGCCATAGTTTCGAGCATTGCTGCAGTGGAATATACTTTGAGGAACTCAACGCCTCAAATAATGATAATAAACCATTTACATAACAGAGGCTTTAACGATTTGTTATAAAAGAAAAATAAATAGTTTCGTGGATGATCAAAGGTATTGATAGTAGTGAGTTGTAAGGACACTAACTTCCTTCTCGCGTGTTTCAATAGAGTCACATTCTCAGAGAAATGTGTGCATATCCATTTCAACAAGATACATCAAACTTGTGGCCTCATCAAAATGTGCGTCAAAATACGCTGTGAAAAAAAATTATTTGACCCAGAGTTAAGTAAGATTTTAGCTTTGCTTCAGACGGACGAATTCTTTGAAACAAATGACTTCGCCTCCACTGATCGTTTAAAAATTAGTGTTTCAAAACTGAAGTCATTAATGTAATGACCTAAGTTTATCTAAGCCTGTTCATTTTTTTAAATGCCGAATGTATGATGCACAGATTGACGGAGCCACTTTTTTAATGAAAATTTTGTACCTTGTTAAATAGAGAGATAAAATGGGCTGCTACTCGTAGGTGACTTATATTTTGAACTTTTTCCGGTGTCTCGTTCTCTTTCTAGATTTTTCCAGCAAGCACTCACCCAAAAACCTCCGTCCTCCTCTTCAAATAACATTTTCATAGTAAGCAACTGTTCCTTAATTCATTACCCTAATTCTTTTACCTATAAATGATATGCACATTTATAACACAAATTTGTACCTGAAAAATACTCGGCAGGAAGAGCCGCGACATATCGATGACTAAAGTCCAAAAATACGTATCTCTAATGCAAGGCTTAAAAATATCTCAGTGTCTCTGATTTTTTTTGGTGAAACTGACTGAAATTGATCCTTAAAATTTTCTGTCAATATTTTCGTATGACGGAAAAAATGCAGAAAAAAGTTCAAGAAAAATTATCGGTTAGTTTTATGTTTAAAAATGATTAAAAATAGGCAGAAACTTGCAACGTTATAGTCAGAGATACTGATTTTTGGATCGTAGCCATCGGTATCAAACTCAAACCTCTACCCTTATAACTCCTCTCTATCTTTCAACAAAATCCGGAATTTAAATCGTCATAAAAAGGGATACTACTTTGCTTCAAATCGTAAAATTATTCATGGTTTTCCTCCTGATTATTGCAGAGGAAATTTTGCGAAAGAACGTTAGATAAATAGTGAAATGAAAACAGTGACAAAAATCGATAGGTCACTTTTACTTTAAAAGTTTCTTTGACTGAAAGTCAGAATTAATTTCTGACATGGTTAAAATTTTACATCTTATGCAATATTTTTATGTCCAAAGATAAAAAAATGTAATAACGCCGCTTCAAAATAGATCAAACCGATCTAAAATTTACGCAACGAAGAAAATTCTGAGCGAAATTATCTTACGGGTGTTGTAAATGATATACTCCAAAGAAAATATGCTAAGGTATGAGGATTGATGTCTTTATTTTTCCTATATATTTGAATAAAATAAAAAAGTTAAGATTATCTCGCTCTCATACATGAAACTCAATAATCCTTTTCCCAGCAGGGGTGTTAACGGATCTATTCCCTCAAATGGCACAGAATACCACTATTAAGACAGCGAATAAGTATCCAGAATCAAATACTTAAAAACAACAATTGATGAAAACACAACGAAAAAGTTATCAACATGAATTTAAAGTATTTTATCACTTGCTCGCTCTTATATTTTTAAGATTTTTGTCCCATGTTCTTCTCAATGAATGAATCAAAGTTCATTCAAAATATGACATTAGGTCAGGGTTGTTTTGTCTTTTAGAATTGCCTTTGAATTTTAGATATATTCAGTCAGGAAATGAGAAAGGAAAGAGTCACTATGCTGATACATCAATTAATAATAAAAAAGATCAAATATATAATTAAATTATTATCTTTTAATTACAAAATGAATAACAAGGTGTGTTTTAGATAATATGCTTCATACTTCTCTGTTTCTCATATCAAATTATCTACGAATGTTTAAAGATTTTTTTTTTTCATAGAATTGAAAATATATTCTTATTTACAAAATATAGAATCTATACGATAGAGTACAGTATCATTTCTTAATGATTTAGAAGTCTTGCACATTTGAATGTTTTTCTCCTGATATTACTTTACGAAATGAATCCTCAACAACACCGGCGAAATACAAAATTAAGAGTATTATATACTCAATGTCCACCCCAAACAACAAAATTATTTTCTTATTCAGATAAACCGATTTTAAGTATATATAGCCCCAATAAAATTTGTTAGGTTATGCTTACACGAATGCCAGACAAATAGTATAATGGAGAAGACTATATAAGCATTGACAGGCTAATAAAATCTGTTGGTTTCTGAAACGAAAGACAGATTGGAGGAGATCAAATTCAGCTCCGTGAATTACCTGTAAAAATGTGTAAAATTCCTGTATTAAGGTAAGATATTGTTAGGATTAGTAAAAGCTACGATTTTCTCTCTCTAATATGCCAGAAAAAGGCAGATTGACACAGCTATAGTTAAAAATGTGCTTTAAGATTGTTTTAGATCGGTGGATTCAATCAAAATTCAAAATATGATAAAGGCACAATTAATTCTGCGTTCGAAGCAAGACTCGATCAAATCAAATCGTCACATTTCTTGGTCACAAGCATCTCGGAGCGATACCATGTTACTTTTGGCCAAATAAATTTTATCATTTTTTGCCTTTGATTCATAAAATTTATGTTGCAATTTGAAATAAAAGATGAGATTTGCGACAAAAATTAGGATATGGAAACATAGAACTTACTTTATGTTTAATCCTTCTTGTCGTCTTCGGGGTCCTTCAACGTGTGCCATTGTGCAATAGGACGTCGAGGAGAGGCCAACATGTCTGACCAATGGCGCAATTCAGTTCCGCTGGCATTGTATCCAAGCACCACCTTTCCAATCGGTTCTGACGTACCAATACGATCGTAATCCACAACAGTTACTTGCAAGTTTACTTTCTGGAAACGACAAACGCAAATTAAAACGAATTAAGTGTTGAAGGAGACGGCTACGGTGTGGTTTTATCGAGATTTCATCCACCTATGGCAAGTATTCTAACCACGTAACTTGATGCAATTTGATTTTGTTTTAAAACCCGATTATAAATTACTTACTTTTATTTTTTTACACGATGATCATTTCGGGCGGGCCGCCCATCTTCAGGTTACTGGACCACGTAAGTTATCGTATGGGAATGGAGATGTTGCATGTGTGAGGAATTTGCGATTTGACGTTTGTTTCTTATGCAAAAGCTCGCAAGAAACACGATGATGCCTCTGGTTTTCTCTAAAATTAACTCCCAAGCTCAAAAAAAGCTGTCAAGTTGACGTCAAAATGGAGGGGATATCCCACCCTACCCTGAGAGTCCACCTCTACATCAAGACAAACTCTCCATGCAAAGATAGGGAGTAAATACATTGACAGGGCTGCCACTTTATTTGGGGATTCTAAAACTGAAAACACGGCAACCCTGCTAATGTATTTGCTCCCTATCTTTGCATGGAGAGTTTGTCTTGATGTAGACGTAGACTCTCAGGATAGCGTGGGATATCCCCTCCATTTTGGCCTCACTTGAGAGCTTTTTTTGAGCTTAGAAGATAATTTCAGAGAAAGCCAGTGGTACCATCGTGTTTCTCGCGAACTTTTACTTAAGAATCCATAGTCAAATCACAAATTCCTCACACATGCAACATCTCCATTCTTGTTTGAACTTCGTTTCTGTCCTTTAATAAATTGTCAAATTCTCTCCAGGATCCCGTCCATATTGAAAAGCAGTCGTCGACGTACCTATAGTATGCCAAAATTTTGTTTTTCCATTTTTTAAGACTACAGATAATGTTGTCTATGTCATTGACAACACCGCCAGCCTCGCTCAAATCATAGAAGAATGCAGTGATAAAATCTGAAATGAGATTAGGTGATCGAGGGAACGAGAGTCTTGATAACCGACGACGCGGCTACCTTCGCACCGAACTTTTAATTTCCGTACCCGTTTCAGTCACCTCAAGATGGGCGGTCCGCCCGAAATGGTCATCACGTAAAATAATAAAAGTAAGTCATTTATAATCGGTTTTTGAAACAATTTCAATTTGCATCAAGTCATGTGTTCATAGTGCCGATAAAGTCTTAAAAATTGTGCGTTATGTTACAAGCCAGCTTTGAGTTCCGTTAACTCCAGTTCCGCAAGAGGGTTATAAATTCGATCAGAAACAATTTTTCTTTTTTATAAATTTGAATCCTAAGAACAGTTCTGCCATGCTAAGGAAAAACGTAGTATGAACCTTCAGGCGTTGCCAAATTTCCTCTTATAAAACGCGAATTTCCTGGTAAATTTATGAACATTTTCCTCCCAGCTTTACAGATAATTCAGTTCCCAATTGTTCCTAAATATTCTGAAAATTTAAAGACAAAATATTCATAGCTTTCCTTAAAAATGAACATTTTATCGAAAGAAATTTGGCAACTCTCGACTGTTCATACGGCGTTTTTCCTTAGCACGGCAGAGTTGGCAACACGATTATATTACGAGAACAAACGTCACAACTGAAGTTATCATGGGTGACAAATAGCCCGCGCCGGCAAGCAGCGTTCACAGCGCCTTCAACATCGCAAGAATACTTTAAACGTTACACCATTAGGCATAAGTTCCGATGTTGCCGAATCTACGGCGTGTTTGACGGTGTGCAAGGTAAACCCGCACTTACAATGTCACGGAGGCAGACACGTTCCACTAATCTGTCTATGTGTCAGGTAGCAAAACTTCATTAATAAAAATTCCCGTATTCACCGATCCCAATTGAAAAATTAGAATTTTTCATACTGGCAGCCACTATTTGAGGATTGTGTCCTGCCAGCATGGTTTTTCCCTCGACGAGCCTAGAATCCTATGATGCATATAACTCGTTCCACCTCAAAACTGGCAAGATGTTATAAGTACAACTAAACGAAAACAAGTGCAATAAAATAAAGACGCGAGGCTGAAAATATACAGATTGAAATTCCTGGGGTTTCGATGGGGTTTCGATGCGGTTTCAACCCTCTCGTCAATTACAAAACGGGATGAAAATGGATAAAAAAGTGGAACACCTCAAATTGGATAAAAAAATCTGCCTTATATTTGTGTTTTGTTTTTTGTTCATTTTTTTTATTTTTTTATTTTTATTTTTTGTCAATTTTACCTTTCAAGTAATAGTCGAAACTGTGGCTGAAATCACTCTAAAATCGTCCCAGATATTATGATGTGTGTTTTTAGCCTTGTTTACCTACTCGTCATGTTAATTAACAAAATTTGTACTTAAACCGCAGAGGTACTAAGTTGCTAAGGCACCTCTGTAAAATAATCATATTTTACTACCATTACTCGTATTTGTGATATATTTTTGTATTCTTTCTGACTCAATAAAACTACTATGGACTTTAAAAAGTCAAACCTGAATTTGTTCGAAGGGAACTTCAAACGTAAACGATTCGTTGTAATAAGGATTTAATGTGCACTTTTTGATGCTAGTCTTCTTCTTCTTGAGCCGTTTCCCATTCTGCATCAGAGCGATCTTGACGTACGGATCTGGAAAAAAAAGCTAGGACTTAGTTTTGCATGATAAGCGGTTTGGAAAATCATGACTATATACAGCAATGTATAATACGAGTGGTAAGGTTAGGTTAGGTTGAAAACAGTACTGAGGCATATCCCAAGGAGTTTTCTGAATACCATTTACTAATTTTCAACAGCCTTTTTCACCTCCCAATGCATTCCTCTCTGAAAATTACTATTACAGGAGAGGTATTTGGATGCAATTGCCACACGTATTTTGGAACCTATAAAGTATGCATATGTATAGATCCTCAACGTAAAAATGACTTACTTACGACTTACTCGCGGTAAATATCTTATACGTGTACAAAGCCAACGGACGAATATGGAAAATGATGATGCGATGACACTGCCGTCTTTAAAGTTTTTGTTTACAACTGTTTTTTTATTATTATGTATCTTAAGCGATATAGATATGTGCTCTATTGCTCTCTCTTTAAGCCTCCTTTTTATCTCATATATAATGATTGATGGATACAAGCCGGGATAGGAAACTGTAAAACCAAATGTAAGTAAGATTTACGTTTTATGTATAAATGTTATGGTATACTATACCGATACTTAAAATACGGTATACGAACCTGATAAACCACCGACATCCATTTTCTTTAGATTTTTAGCTTCTAATATAACAACAGTGAGTTTGCCAGCTGTCGGTACGTATCGTAGCGAGAAACAAATATCTCCAAGCTTGTTATCCTGAAAGCAAATTAAGGAAAATAATTAATAGTTGTGGGAGAGAAGTTTTGTTGGTTTTTGGGGGTGAAGTATTAAAACTTTGCTTTAAAATTTGAGAACCAGGTCTTGCGGTCATTAGTCGATGGTTTGTTGAACATTATAAACGTCATCCAATTTCTGTGATCTTTTCCTCATTTTTCTCCCAAATAATAAAAAATGCCTGTCTATATTTAAGGGAAATGACATTTTTAAGCGAGAAAATTGACCGCTGATGTATGACTAAATGACTGAGTTAGAACTTTATCTGCAAATTAATTTTGATGGATATTCAAAATTATTCCATTAGTTTTAATTCAATGAATGATTAGTTCGAGATGACCTTTCTAACTTATATTGATGTGTTTTATTGCTTATAAAACACCTCTGCCTGAATTAACGCAATGCGTATTTTGTGCATTTCTTCAGAAAATTTCGACGTAACTCCAATCTACATACTCTGCAATAGAAAGAGAGAGGTACATATACTTAAGCAGTTTATCCTAAACAACCTCTGCGTCAAAATTAATTCTTCGGCAAAACAGATAAATGAATCTCAGTAGTTGGTAGTTTGAGATTTGAAAACAGTTCAATCAACAGTGTTAGAATCTACATTTCAACCTAACTAATCTACAAGTTTTAGAAAAGAAATCTTGAAATTGATGTACAAGCAACTCAAGATCTTCCGTTCAAAACAAAATAACAAGACGACCAGTTGTAGATTTTACGTCTGACAACGTGTTTAGAGGTCGAAAGTATATTTGTAGAATTTCTGAAGCATTTCAACGGTTTTTTTTCTGATAATTTGAATCCCTTATTTTAAAGAGATTAGTTTGTACGCATGATTTGAGCTTTAAGTAACTTTTTTGTTCATTATTATATTTTCTTTCACGTGTCTCTCTTGGAGTTTTTTGAAAGCAAATAGAAATGAAAATATCCGTTGTTTATGGATACTTGTGGACACTTGCTTGCCACTACTGTAGCATAAAGAAGTAATGTAAGTGCTTTAAGTTTCTGTCAACACTGCCTTAAAGTTTTTCTTGAAACTTCATCTAACTAGCAATCAATTGCAACAATTGCAATCGATCTGCAAAATTTGCGATTTACTATAGGACGTAATGGACGGTTTTTCACTCTTTGTCAATTCAATATAAGTATTGCAAGTAAATCGTGCATGCGCAAGACATAATATCATTTCCTCTTATTTCATCAATAATATAAAATATAGGTTTGTCAAAACAGGTATTAAAAGTTAACTTTTTAAATTCAGCTACGTTAACTTTTCAACATTATGTTTCCGCACATGGATAAGATAAATCACAACGACAACAGGCACCTACATCACTACAATGACCATTTGTATTAGGTTTTGTGTGCAATGTACGACTCAAAAAGCACATGCTGAAGATAACATGAATAAGTCTAACATGCCAAGCAAGAGAGCATGCAATTTCTGAGACTTTACCTGTATTTTGTAGATACCTCAGGTGACTTCATAAAAAAGCCAACTGCCGAGAAACTTGCCCATTCGCTTAGGGATCAGGTTAATTAAAGCTTTTAATTACCCAATCTATCAAAATTGTACCCAGTGCCAAGTTTCAAAATGTGTATAGTCACAAATAAAATAATAATAAACGACAGACTCCTCCCCAACCTATTACAAGATAATCTATTTTTATTTCTTATTAATGTTGCAGTCTTCTCAGTGGAAAAATAATAAGATACCGAAAAATGTCACTAAAATGAGCCAACTTGTTTCTGATTTGCCTGCTGATTCTCCTAATTTTTCTAGTGTGCTGGATTCTTTTACCATTTTTACTTAGTCTCACTCCAAAAGAAAATGGGAAAAGAAGGTCATAATATAACCTAGTAGAATCACAATACAAGTGCTGGGCATATTCACTCATCCCGCATAATACATAAGTTTCAGTCTTGCTATTTAATAATAACTGACACAAAGTAAATTTTGAAACAGGTACAAAAAGTCTCACGTTTTGGTGTTATGCAGAGTGAGATAAAACCAAAAAAATGCGCAAAGTAAAAGTTGCGAAGATCATATATATTTCAAGCTTAAAATGGACTATTGTCAATGAGTCACTCACCGTAAGAATTCACGATGATGGCCTCTATAGATAAAAAAATCATTCGGACCGAGCTTTTTGAATCAGAGAAATCATTGATCAAGAGGAATTTCATTTTCATTTAAAATTTACGCCATCTTTAAGTATAGATCGAGTATCAAATTTTAATCGTGTTTTTTATTACCCTCCTTTATATCCTCTGGAGCGCCTTTTGCGCCACCTTTTACCATATAAAAAAATAAATTTAAGTTAAAAAAAATCATTGAGAAATATAATATTAGTTGAAATTCTATGTCATCCCAAATCATTTTTTCAAGAAAGAAAATAAATTTTCATCCTTCAAATTTTTAAAAACCACAATACGTTATTAAAAAAAAGATAGGCTGATGAAGGAAGTTGCGCTACACCCATTTTATAATATTCGAATAGGAGGGCTCATCATCTCGCTTTTCTCGTCTCAAAGTGAACCAGCTAAGTTAGTTTTCTATGGACGCTCACAGTCACACACACACATAGATTTACAGACTTCAAAAATTAAAGTTGAATCTTTTGGGGGACTATTATTCTTGTAAAAGTTCCTTAATTTTATTTTTGTCATGCTTCTTTTTGCCATGCTTAAATGGGGTCTTGTAAATATACGATTTACGTAATGGAGCATTCAAAATGCTCTCCTCGAGAATTACGTTTGTCATGTTAATAATGCGATGTAGAGAGTGCTTTATAACATTATATTGAACTTACCCACACATATTTCATTTTATAATGCATGTGAAATTTTCTCGCATCATTTGAGTTGACTCTGATCAATTTACTATTGTGTCGTAAAATTAGTTTATGCCAATAAGACAACTTTAATTTTTGACCAATGCCTTCTTTTAGTAGTTTGTACTTTTTATAAAGCTAAAATCATTCATTGAATCTAAATCCAATCACAAATCTACAGAAATTCACAGGTAATCAGGTACTCTTGAGATGTAAGAAAAATATAACACATACGTATAAGAAACAAATATTTACAGTTTGGATTTCATTAGTTGATATCCGTCTTTTTCTCTCTTTTAAAGCCACAAACAACGGCTATATATTGTTGCGGGCGAACTTCGTGTACCTAATAATCGCACCGGTCATGCATATTTACTTCAGTTAAATGAACTTTATCTTCAGACTTCTATTTTTCACTGTTTATTACACCATACTATAAAATGGCGTTTCTTCGTTTCGATATTGATTTATTTACTAGCATTAATATCCATCGAACCATGATTTTTTTTCTTCTGTTATCTGTGTCAACAATCGGAAGCCAAAATTTCATAATTATTTTTTAATATATGAAAAATTAAGTGCTTTGCTAATCATATACCATATTCCTATCACATTTTTTGGCATCGGAGTACTTAGCTCCGATGTTTCAATTTTCAATTAAGTGACCGGAAATATATTCTATTTCCGCTGCAGCAGTGGTGCTATGAAAAGGAGAAAGAATTCAGATAGTATACATCTGGATTATTAAGTATGGAGTAGGTTTGTTTTTAAAAAAAATAACTTTGGTTAGAACCAAAAATATAGTAGTCCTTACGCCAAAAATACCGGTCGTAAAGTAACAGACAAAACGCAATTTTTTATATTTATTCATTTTTTTGTTATGCTTTTTCAGCACCTACTTCATATTTTATCCAGCCTAACGTTCCTTATGCTCTCCAGAGTGATAAATTGCTCGATTTTACAGTAAAGTTCAACAGAGAAAATTAACGTAATAGATGGAAGATAAAACGAGCAGTATGTTATCGATGTTACGTTAAGAAAAACGATTGCCTTACTTTTTTGGGGCATCTCTTACATTTGTGAAAATAGTTATGTTGCGTGATCTATAAATGTGTGTTTCGATTAAAATTTCGGTAGTGTGTTGAAGCCTCCGCATTAAAAAGTACTTGCTTCGAATAATTTTGATAGCACTTTCGATAACTTCAAAGTTCAAATGTAATACGTGGAGCCTGTTATTTCCCGGGTAAAAATCGAGGAGGACAGTAACATGTATACGTGTATATGCATGTATGTACTATGTTATTTTATGCACATACGGACAAATGAATGAATCTAACACCAACACACACAAAACTTGACAACATTTTGGCTAACACAGAAACACGGAACACTTTTCACAGACGATCGATACTCTAGCCGTTTCATTTGGTTTCCGAAAATCTCGAGCCCCGAATAAAGAGTACTTACGTGAATTGATCGGATTTTGGAGGAACATGCAAAGTTGAGTAGTGAATGTCCAAAGTCATAACACAGGCCAATAAGCAGAGCAGAAGAGAAATATCGAGAATAATAGACAAAGAAAGAGAAAAACAAAAACAAATGTAAATAAAAAATAACTCAAAGTTGAATGATGGCGCAGTGTAAGGAATAATACAACGGCAGAGAGTGGCTTTCGTTTATTTATTTTTTACTTTCATCAGTTGCAGGTGTAAACAGTATAGGTACCAAATTATGTTCATTTTCATGAGTGAGGCTGAGTGCATTCTAACTATCACCTATGCTATCACTGTGCGTAACGTTACAGCGTTGCGGTCAGTGGCGTGGAGTGCTTCGATATATGTCGATATTTCCCCATTTGAAGCTATGGTAAAGAATCGATTATTAAGGTGTTCGTTGCGGACACCCTGATAATCGATCCTTTCCTACAGGTTTAAATAGCAGATCAATCGATGTATCGCAAAGCACGCCACGCCACTGGTAACGGTCTCTCTCAGACGCACCAGGAAGTATATTTGTTTGGTTTACTGTATTGTATTGCGTTTGGTGCTTTGTTGGGTCACATTACGACGGTGAAACTACCAAACCACGTATCTCGTTTGCGGTGTTTAAAAATCTACGCTCGCATTTTATTTTTTTGAAGTAGACCAAATCAATATCATTCTTTGAAATTTTCACAGAATTTTCTCCGCACGAAGAGGAAAAATCACAGAAATTTTCAAGACTGGACGTTCAGTAGTTTTTCATTTAAAAAATAAAGTATGACAAGAAGTCTGCGACGTCGCAAACCGAGATACGTGGTTTGGTAGTTTCACCGTCGATTATGTGATTTTTTAATAGTGTGCCCTTCACCAGATACTATAAAATTAGTTGTGAAGATTCAAAAAAAACATTTAAAGATGAAAAAGGCTGAGTCCTTCTATCTTATTTCCTTCTTTATTTACTGCTTTTTAACCAAAGTCTACTGTTGTATTTATCTTTACACTACGAGTAAATTCTTATATTAAAAACGCTTATACTTCATAAAAATTGTCTCATAAAATAGTGTGAGATAGTAGGCAAAGAAAAAACTTTTGCCGTTCAACTAGATGATATTTCAATCCACGTCTTTAAAGAAGGACTGAAATATATTTCAACACTGAATAATAGGAAATATTAATGAAACCCCTTAAAACTAGTGTGCACAAGCGCTACATATATAGATATAAAATGTGCAGTTTCATAAGCGTCTTATTAAAATGGCCTATTTAAACTAAACATTTGATTTGTTTTTCAGAAAGCAGCTGCATTTTGTTTGCAACAGGATTCGGCCATCATTCATTTCCTGTAGCTGGTCTAAAGCTATCGGCTTGCACCGCAAAATGTAGATTGTACGTAGCTCACTAGTTTTATAATGCGTGTTCTATGAATAAAATGTTTTTATAAAAGTATGAAACCATTTTTATTCTATTTGAAAATGGTTTGAGGCAAGTCTAATATTCCTGGAATAATATTTAAGATAATTCAGATCCATTTGTGAGTCTTTGGTGATTGCATCGGAGGAATATCTGGGAGGCAATATACACTTTTTGAAGATATTGAGCTTTAAGTTTGCTCTCAGTATTCGGAAAATTTCCGGATGAAGTGGGAAAAGCACAAGTCTTTCTCTTTTCCCCTCATCTTTACTCGCTTCGAATAACCTCTTGATTCAAGACTAATATTTCCGCGATATTCCGCTTATGCAAGTTGCAAAGTACCAAAATTTGATGAAAACCCATGTTGGAGTGAATCATATCATCCTATAATTTAATGGGTCCTATTTGCGAGCATGTAAAATAAACAAGATAAGTTTCGCATGATTATGCATGTACCCGAATTTTAATGATGAATGAGGAACATTTTAGAGGGTTGCGCGGAGGACTACAGTAATTTTCTCTCTCATTTTATAAAGCTAGTGCAGATTATCATTACACCGGATTCTTCTTGCACTTCAATGATTTCATATCAAAAACGGATCCTAAATGTTCATGGTGTGAAGGGAATGCAAAAAACGGAAGTCAATCAAGATAATTAAAAAATAAGACGGGCATTATCATACGAAACTATGGTTGATGAATTCAATTGTTTATCAAAGCATTTTGAAAATCGATCGTGGAAAACGGAGTAAAAAAAGGAAAACTTAATATTACCAAATTAATAACACATGCCTTCGCACTTAAAAAAAGTGATGCATATGCTTTGTAACATCAAAATAAGAAGTAGCTAAAGTTTGTTGGAGAGGGACTGGACGTGTAAAGGGATAATCGGGGAGTGGATCAAAATGCCAGTTTTAGGGAACTCTGAAAAAAAACTCGGGAAATTAAACTACATTCAAACGTTGTTTTGCGGTTGGCTGTTTGTCTTCTTTCCGGTCTCTTTACTCCTTATTAATGTTACAACATACGTCCGCGTGAATGTGACACAATTCTCGGTGGCGATGTTTACATCTAATCGAGTCAAAACGTTCTGTTCATTTTACTTTAATTATTTTATTTCCTGGATTAGATTTGCCAGAATTTTGTAGTCACGAAATCGATGAAATGCGCAACAAGCCATTTAACGCACACCTCTCTCGATCATCCAGTCGCAATATTTCGACATTGTTCAAAGCAATCGGTGCTGTATAACGGGTTTACTGCAGATTAATTAATGTAAGCTTGGCAAGGATGCGGAAAAGAGGTTGTAACGAAAGCGTTTTCAGGGAACTCAGTTCAATAAAAGCACCTTGTTTCTTATGACTCCCCCTAGCCCCACCATCGCCCGCTTGTCCCAGCTTTGAAGTTCTCGCGCTCTAACCCTTTCCGCTTCCTATTTGACCCCCATCTCCAGTGGCGAGACGTGAATGGTCGATTATCGATATTTCTCCATTTGAAACTACGGTGAAGAATCGATCATTAAAGTGCTCGTTGCAAACACCCTGTTAATCGATCCTTTGCCATAGGTTTTAAAGGCAGATAAATCGATATATCGCAAATCACTCCACGAAACTGTCCATCTCCTCTCCCTAAAGCGCCCCCTTACCCGCCGTCTCAGCTGTTGTCTCATATCGTAATTGACTTTCTTCACAATCGCAATATTTTTTACACCGTGTTAACCTTTCCAGGGGCAGATAGTTTTTGGAATAAAAAGTCGGTAAAAATTTGATTTCATTTCCTTGTTTCTTCTCTGATCGCTCATGAGTTATAGGCTTCCTTGGCTCTTTTCCCTTTATTTCTATACTGCTGTGCTAAGCAATAACGTCGTGTAAACCATCAGGCGTTGCCAAATCCCTCGACAAATCACGAATTTTCAGGAAATTTATGATATGTCTTCTCTGATATTTCAGAGGAGTTTGTTTGTAATTTAATCCGACAAGGCTAACAATTTCAAGGACAAATATTTACACCGTTTTTTCAAAATTTCATTTTTTCTGAGAGGAAATTTGGCAACATTCGAATACTTATACGGCATTATTACTCAGCACGACAGCATAGTAGCGTATCTAGTTGCCGAAAGAAAAAGTGAGACTCAATACATTACACATTTTTTTTGTGTTTATAAGTTAGCAGTCCGTAATTGTGTTTCTTCTTCTTTTTTTTTCAAGGAATTGAACTTTTCACTCGTTGCCCGATCATACCTGTCATTGTATCATCCTCAGAGATTTTCGTCGTGAAATTGAAAAAGACATTCTTTATTTTTATTTTTTGTAATTATACACATAGAGAGGGCTATATTATGGGAGAAAAACTGCACATAATGAGAATTATAGCGATTCAATGCGACTTGATTTATTCCGTCGCGGATCGCTTTCGAAAGCAGGGCACTATGTTTACTAGTGACTTCCGGTTGCCTCAATTTTTTTGTTTTTAACTGTTGGAAGGATTAAGTGCAAAAGAATGAGTTTAGACGATTTAAAATGGGTCAGCGGCACCGTAAACCATACACGGAAATTTAATATCAAGGATAAAGTTTCAATCAGTGCGGAAAAATTATATCATGCGAATACTTGTTTCGTCACTTGACAGCAACGTAAGTTTTTGTGGGTCATTCTTTGCTAGAGAGAATATCCTTTCGACTAGACACCCTGAGAAAATTTCGCGTTGTCATCTGGAGGATTTGTCAAGTTCGTAGTTGGTGGTTATGGGCTAGGGTTTTTTTGGAGTTTGTTGCATGAGGCATTTCCGTTTCCTTTTTCTGGCGGGAGTGGAGGGGAGGGATCTGGAGCGTCGGTGAAGGACATGCTGATGGGAACCCAAAATTGAGCAGCGCAATGAGAAGATTGACTGGCGTACCTGACCACCTTCTCCCTCGACGGACTGGAGCACTCGCCACTCTTCGATCGTCTGCGCCAGATCCACCTGACACAGCGGAACCTTCACCTCACCGATCTGATCGTGCTTTGAGAACCTGTCGAAATCAAATATGGCGAATACCAGGGTCTTGTTCATCGCATCCGCATACGGCACGCCCTGAAACATAAACCCACAAAGATCAACTTTAAGGCTAGCCGGCCAGGTTTGCCTGGTGGTCAGCGCGTCTGACTCCAGGTTAATAGGTCCCGGATTCGAGTCCCGGTGGTGGCAACACATTTGCATGGAACTATCGAGTGGATCTGCAAAAACAGCTTCCGCTCGGCCTTAATCTTTGAATATTTGAAAGCCTGGAGCAAGGATGTGCACTAACCCTAACCCGCTGCTCAAGTGCTCATTCAAGGTTGCAGACTCCTCAAATGGATTTAAGACCTCAAATAACATTAAAAAAAAAAAATAAAAAAAAAACAGGCTGCGAATCTTTATGCGCGAATCAATGAATTTTGGGCATTTAAATGTATCCGGAATCGCAGCGGATCCAGAGGCTTTTTCTACATACATAAAAGCCGCTCTCACAGCGTTCTCTGGCACTTTGCGATGCTTAGTTGCCAAAGTCCAATATTCTCCCAGATCCCTTCGGGTAGTTAGCACTCTTTCATTTCCTCTAAAACCCCTTGTCGCCACCCTTTCCCCAGACGTCCTCTTCGTCTCCATCCAGGAGGAACTCACATCATCTTCCCAGCATCTTTGTCGGCACCCTTTCTTTCGTCATCCTGTTAACATGATCATACCATACAAGCTGTTTGGTCATAACGTCGAATGCGATGACATTTTTGACCCCCATGATCAGATGCACTCTATCATTGGCGACCCGATCTCCTCTAGAAATTCCTGCCAACTTCCTCCTCCAATTCCTCTGTTGTTCGTAGTGTACCTTGTGTCTGTTCCTTCAGCTGTCAAACTTCATTTTATGTGTAAGAATACTTTTGACTACAACGTTTTCCATTCTCCCTTTGTTTTCTTGGAAAATCCGCTGATCCAAGCCGTTTAACATCGCTATAACCTTTTTCCCTAGGATGTTTCTTTTCTTCAATGACTTGATCCGTACACAGTGAGAAAAAGTAACCAAAATCTTGTGTTAATATAGGAAGTAAAACACGAAATAACACAAGCTGCTGGTTCATTTTTTTATATTAGTTTTCCCCTGTCTCAGATCGACCTCATCAAAGTTTCAGGACATTTTGTCAACGATTTTTTGTCCGCGCACCTTTTTTGTCCAGTACTTTACACCCACACTTAAAATAAGCAACAGTGACTTGGTCCAAGCGTTATATTTTAGTCGATATGTAAAATTATATTGACAATATGGAAATGAGAAATTAAGAGAGAAAGAGGTGTTCTTATGGTTGCTCATTTTCTAAATGGAATGTTAGTACTTTCTCCTTTTGAATCATCTTTTTAAATTGTCATCGGTGAATATTTGGTTTTATTTCTATATTTATACTTTTAAAACGTGGCAAATATTTGTAAAACCTTTTCCAAGCGACATTAATCTCAATGAGCCGCAGTTGTGCCGACAGAAACTGCAAAAATGAATAAAAGAGGGAAAAAACCAAGAACCACGCAATCTTTAGTTTTAGCCCATTTGTACGTCGATCTTTTAGAGTAAAATACGTCAAATTTTGAGCGTTTGGTTGCGCGCACACCTCGCTGCAGCACAATAAAAGCACAAAATGTAAAAGAAAAAATTAAAAGTGCTTTGGAAATCATTAAATTTGACACGGAACTACCAATATTTAAAAGACACACATTATATTATTATTCTTCTTTGATAAATTGATACATATTTTTTCCCATCAATTTAAATGAGAATAATCAATCCAGAGTGTGTTAACATTTCAAAATCATGAGTTAAAAATCGCTGACTATGCGAGTATAAATATTAAAGCCTAACAGAGCGGAGCGGCGCGGCCGGCGGCGGTGTGCTGCCAGCGCTAGAGGCTCACTGGCGCCTACAAACCTAAGTGGATACTTCTCGCATTGCACAATGCTTGAAGTATCCACTTAGGTTTGTAGGCGCCAATGCGCGCTCCGCGTTGGCCGCCCGCCTGCCGTGCGGCGGCGCCTGAAGCAACTATTTTACAACAGAGTTGTTGCACAGTATTATACGAAATTGAACGTATTAAGAATGACAGGCATCCTTTAAAAGTACAGATCTTTCCTCGCAAAATAAATCAAAATACTTATCGTGCACAGGAAAAATCTAAGAGCCTTTAGCTGAGGCAAATATAGAGGTTTATCCGGTTCAGGTATAACAAGGTGAGAATTTCTTGAAAGATAATTGGAAATTGGAATTGACGCTCCCCCATTTTTACCAAAACTCTCAACTATATATTATTCTCCGTTGGACCAAACAGACAAAACAAAAAACATGCAAACCCTCATTCTTCCAAGACATTATACATTTTAATCCAAAAACGTCGTGAGCAATTTTCGTTTGTATTTACATGTGGGCCAATAACTATGGGTCTCAACTGGTACGTGGACCAAAACTCTCATGCCGAAAACACGCGTGGACGTAAATTACTGGAAAAAACAGGTGCGCGGACAAAAAATCGTTGAAGAAATGTCCTGTAACCCCTAATCATTGTGTTAAAATCTGCCACCTTGTTAATAATTATAGTCGCCAGCCCTCAGGATAGAACCTGGATTGCATCGGTAATAATCCACTGCACCTATCGCAAGTCTCAATCACCGAGAATGAGAAGGAAAACAAGAGTACATGAGTTTATCAGGACACTTTCTTCATCGTCCGATATCTCAAAGTAGCCTACGGCTTGGATCAATTTAACATAAAATGATGTTCAGCAGTTAAGCTCTTTAGGTTGACCTGAAATGAAAGAAGTAACACAAAGTAATACAGAGTAAAATCAAATACGGAAATTATTAACTGTTACTACCTTCCTGGGTCAACCGCACTCCCAAGTAGAGTGCGAGTAGAGAGGTGAAGCCTTTTCCACAATGGAATCCTTTACCTCATTTACGGGACTGCAGAAGTGCAGAACTTTGGCACATCGTTTAACGGTGCGCGTGTTTTGATTAATTGTCCGCTCCTATATGCGACTCAAGTTTTCGATAGCGTTATAAGAGAATTCACAGTTTGACTCACCTTAAATACGAAAGTTTCATTAAAAACGGGGTGTAACGTCTTTCTATGTACTTTTGTCTCGAACTTCTTCTTTTTGTCAGGTAATAGATAAACTTTAACATAAGGATCTGAGGTGCCACCCATATCCAGGGCTGGTAGGTCCTCTGCTTGAACCACCGTCACTGCTAAACTGTTCGAGTTGAAGTCGTATTCCAGCTACGAGGAAAAAAAACATAAATGTATTACTTGACATAATCTGAGTATTACATAGTTTTGAATAACACACGTTTCTTTTTCTCTATATATCTTCCTCTATTTCTCTTATACTCCAAAAATTAAATATCTAATTATTGAAAAATGACGCGCATTCAATTACAAAATAACTGGCGAGTTATTACAGTTGTTTTGCTCCTTTGCGCACACAATTAAATTATCATTTTATAATATTTACGTACATCATAAAATGTGTTATTTTATACTTCGTGATCTATTCTATAATTTATAATGTTCATGCTTGGCAATTTTTGAAAAATTTCCGCGAATTGTTTTTCACCATCGAGTTGACGTCCGTAATTATGATCTCAATCAAAGTTTACATTTTCACTTGCCGTCGAAGTACCGTGAAGACTAATGCACCTATTGCGTAGTGGCGTGGCGTGAATGATCGATTATCGACCTTTCCCTATTTGAAGCTGTGGTAAAGAATAGTTTATTAAGGTTATAATTGCGAATATCCTGTTTTTCGATGCTTTTCCATAGATTTAAATGGAAGACCAATTGATAGATCGCAAAGCACACCACGCTGCTGCTCTTTCTCCTTCCCGTTCCTTTTTGATTGCATACATTTAATCCTACAAAAATACTCATTCAATTTTTGACTTGATTGGGGGAATAAAAATGGAAATGGAACGCAATGATGAAGAGGAGGACGGGGGGACAGAGAAAGTAAGGAGGAAGCGAAGAGAGTCAAAGCAAATGAACCAAATATAATTGTATCTTAAAATATTTGTTTGATGGGAGTGAACTGAGTCCTGAGTCTTTTCAAAAATTGGGTGAGTATTCATTTTATAGCAATAGTAATAATTGTAGAAACCCGTAAATGTGACACCTAGTATAATATTCAATAGAAATGGAAAAATCGGCTTACTTTAAACTGTAGTTTTCCAAGCTTAATTTCTTCCTTCTTCTCACCCTCTTCAGCTATATCCTCTGCATTTTCCGTCAGTTCCTCCATATCCGGTTGAACCTTCAAATTCATAAAAATGAATACAAATGTAATCCAAAATCAAGAGTATGCGTGATATAAACTTGAATCAAACAATCTTACTCTTAAAATACGTCAAAATTTATGAGTAAAAGTTTGAGGATGAGACGAGCCAGCATTTTGTTTTCGCTCACACAAGTACTCGCCCTTGGTTACGGGCTAACTTTGCCTTAAATAACCAGTTTTAAATTAAACCGAAAATAGTAATTTCCAAACTAAAGTTAACTAAAGTTCAACAGCGTCTTGCAGCGCTCTCTTCCGTCTGCGCAAAACCACTTTTACATATTGACGAGGTGCTACGGTGAACGCTCTCCAACGTCTTAAGGTTGGAACCGTCGTCTTGTTTTTTTCCATCAATTTAAATGAAAATAATCCACGCAGAGTATGCAATCATTTAATCATTATGAGTTGAAAAACGTTGAATTCGTTAGAATATCAGATTCTAACATGGAGCAGAGCGGCGCCAGCCATCGCATTCTGCCAGCGCAAAACACGCACAGGCGCCTACAAACCTTACAGGGATACTTCACGCATTGCGCAATGCGTGAAGTATCCCAGTTAGGTTTGTAGGCGCCAATGCGCGCGTTGCGCTGGTCGCCCTGCTCGCCCGCCGTGGCGCTTCAAGTAACTATTTCGCAACAGAGGTGTTGTACAGTATCATACGAAATTGAAGACGCTCCATTCGGAGAGTAAAATAATACAAAAAAAACATGAATATTAGGCAATTTAAGCAATAACGTTGGAACCGTCGTCTCGTTTTTAGATTTTACTTCTTTTTTCTATTCATCATGCTAAAAGAGGTTTCAGAATTCAGACAGATGTTAAGGCCTCAATTCTGATTTCTGATTGTTCTGAAAGAATTTTGCAACGTCAAATTTATGCACAGTGATCATACAGTGATCATTCATGGGCGGAATTACGAGCTAACCGCTAACAGAAGACACAACATTTAGTTTAATTGCCTGGTTGACAATTCAAAAGAAGAATCTGTGGCGGCAGCCAATGAGGGATGAACACAAGATGCACTGCTCCCATTACTGAATGGTGATAGGCTACCGCCACCAGTTCTTCGCAATGGTCGATGCCAGTCAGCGGCTAAAGGATAGTGACGGTTGATTGAAGTCATACCTTTTCTTTGTAAGCTGACCCTAGTAACTGCACAGATTTCAAATCTACCACACCTTTCCCTTTCTTGTCTTTGGCTCTTCTTTTTCGGAAACATCGGTGAATGCAGCATCCACATATACCGAGAATAAGTAAGCCTATTGCTGTAAACACAAATAAAACAATGAAATTAAGTTAAGAGGTACAACGAACTTAGAGAGTAATTTACGTATAGTCGTAGCAATCTAGAATAGAAGTCCTCATTTTTTTCGGATTAAACCCACGATAATTTTTTAATTTTTACTTGAGATCCATATTTTTTTAAGTACAAGTATATCATACAATCTCTTTCGGGGTAGTATACTCTTCAATCTAGCTCTTGAAAGGAGTAAATTAATGAAGAATATGATCTCTTTTCTTCTGAAATCACATGAAGGCGTCTATGCTGAATGAATCTTAATACACTCAAAAAGGAGCTTATAGCAAGCAAGCATCATGAAAATAAACTAATCTTTATAGATTTGTTGCTCCAATTAAAATTCTTTGAAAAAATTACTTATTAAATATTTAGCATTGATGCATTTTAAATTGGTCAAGCCTCCTGGTAACATTTTTAAAATCATTCCAAGGTATAGATCTCCACACCGCAAATTCCGTAAAGGAGGAGAGGCGTGGCTTTAACCACGCGGACTAACAGTGCATGATTCATTCATACTGACCGCCGCGTCACCTGAATTATACAGCGAACATCAAAGAGTTCGTAGGTGTACACACTTGAAACGTCCAGATAAACCATTTTTGTGAAGGTCAAAGCCCCTCTCATCACACTTACTCCGAGCTTAATTTATGTCCAGACATTCGCGAGTGGGCGATCGCGGTGCCGCCTAGTCGAAGGTGGGGATTAAGAGGTGTCAAAATTGGCGATGCAGTAGACTGGAAATAGGAGACAGATCGAAATTGAGAGGAAAAGGTGCACGGGAGAAGGAGAGGGAGAGGAGAGGAGAGGATTTTCAAAAGACAGAGTAGTGAGGAGTGACTTGGCGAAAAACGAATACTAAGTAATGGGCGTATGTAACAGTTGACCTATTTCTTCGAGCATCACAAATCCAGTGCCTGCGACCCCCTGCCCTTCCACCCCCTGAGAGGGGCGGGGGTGTCTGCCGCACCCCAACCCCCTCCCCCTCCCTCACAGTCTCCTCAGAAGTCTCCTAGACTCCCAGCTGAGCGCGCTTTCTGAAGTCGTCAGCTTCCAAAGTTCCCAACTCCCCCCATACCCCTTACCCCGTTGCTTCCCCCACCTTCTGCCACCGGCTCATGCGTTCTACTTTCTCAATACCAATAATCCGTGTAATATCTCGCGGTTTTACGTCCATAGAATTACAGTGGTAATTCGATCAATTAAATATAATTGGTCCCACCCAAGCCTTAGACAAAGTAAAACTAGGGGGGTGACCATCGATTGAAAAGGATGACGCAAACGAATAATAACCTCGTTGTTTTAAAGGCTAAAATGTCTATTTTCATTAATTCTGAGACGTAACACCTGACTCCCTCATTCCAGCATAATATTGCTGAGTCTTAAAATACTGTGAATATACATTCATTTTTCTGCAACGCTTAATGACCTGCATTTGTTTATTTGCCTAAATTGTGCATGATCAATACTTTAAATATGAAAAATACCACTTGTATTATATTGTAAGAAATTGATTATTACTTTCTTCTGCCACAGCTCTAAACGTATTTTGGATTGAAAAAAATATAATAAACAAATCTACAAATAAACCTAAAAGGACTCGTCTACGGTCTGAGGAAAGAAAAGTAGAGAGGCTTTCGAAAATTCCAACATATTCCATTGAAAGTATAATATGTAAACCATTATAAGAGAGGGAAAATTATGTCTCTATTTGTCGTTTTCTTCATGACATGCTGCATTTCAATGCTGCCAAATTTTACTCGCTAATTTCAGTAACTGGTGCGAATGTGAGGCATTTCTAAATGAAAATATCATTGATTTCTCTTCTGATATCATTCGAAAATCAGCAAAAATTTGCACAGATACATAAGTAAAACATCGAATTCTTCAAGTCTAAACGGGAATCGACGTTTCGTCTCTTTATTAGACTGCTGATGTAAAAAATTTGATACGTACCTATGGCAATGGAAACGACTACCCATGTTGGGAGGCCAACCTCTTGCGCAACGGATTTCGCTATTTTCTCGCCGTCGTCGACCATGCCTTTGACCATTCCTTTCGTCGGAGGTGGTGCCGTCGACGTTGAATAGTCGAAATCTTCACTCGTTGTTCCTGTGTAATCTGAAACAATCAAACCATCACCCAAAGTTAGATCTCCGTGTTTTTAAAGAGCATCACCGAGACGTGTGGAGTTTCTTTAAATGAGATTCATGGGTAAGAAGAAGTTTTCTTTAAAACTGAAGTATGAGATAACTGAGTCTTTTGTCGAGACCTGCCCAACTCCGGTAAGAATCTGAACTCATCCGAAAATTTTTGATGGAAAATGTTTTTAGCACATGTTATCCGGTGAAAATTCTCTGTCCTTCAATGGTACATGATTTGCACAGTTCCTAAGACAAGCAACACTTACGCCTGTCTTATGAATGTAAATTGAAGTAATTCTGTTTTGACAAAGAGAAAAGTAAATACATGAATCAAAAATGCGAATGCCCCCAAAAACCGTATTTGATGGAAAGACAGAACTAAGAGGCAAGAAAGTAAATACGTATCAACTTTCCCACAGTGTTTTTCTTGATGGGCTGGCATGACTTATAGCATAGCCTCTTGATGCAACTAAACGTGCTCAAGGGTTGACCATGTTGCATTTTCAACAGATTGAAGGCGCTCCGGCACTCTGTCTTTTCTCGCGTCGCTTTGAGCGTGAGAAACGGCATAGTGCCTGGGCAAATTCATTAACTTTGTGAAAGTGTTGAATTTGCACTATTTTGTAGAAATCACAGCCAAAGGGTATCCCAGGATAAGGGCACCAAAATGCCCCTCCTCACGGATTTTGAATTTAATGGTCTAAACCCCTTCAGGAGGTCCTAAAAACATGGTTTTGGGCAATTTTAACCTCCTGACCCCAACCACCCCCCCTCCAGCCCCGAAAACCCCATTTTTCGGGGAATTTTGGGGTATTTTCACGTTTTATTTCATATCTCCCGCGTTTTTCAATGAAAATGCACCAAAATTTCACCAAATGTACATCAGAGCAATCACATTCTTGGGTAAAAAAATCAAATTTATCGAAATATATTTAGACTCCGAAAAAAATTCGTGAAAATCGCAAATTTTCAATTTTTTTCAGATTTTAGCGGTTTTAAAAAAAATGAGGACACATACATTTTTTTTTATTGCCTTAAAATGTAGGTAATATACCCAGTTGTTACCAAAAAAAAATTCAAGCCTTCATGCGTGGTGCGTCCCACCGAAAAAATAGTTTTTTTGGCGCCAAAACGGTCAAAATGGCTCTTTTGGCAACGGTTTACTCGCACGCTATCAAGATAGTAACACTAAAATCTCTAATTTTTGGTTTCAATGTTTCAAGAAGCATGCCCTAGTATCGTCAGAAAAGGTTTCAAGTCGATCGAGTCCTTACGCCCCACGTAAAGTACCGGTTTTTGGCGCCAAAATGGTCAACATTCCTATTTCAGAAGAGGTTACTTGCCGTAGGGTGGCCCTTATTTTTGACTTTACGGAATTTAAAGTGCAGAGCCCTGCAAATGGTTTCATTTGATGAGAAAATAACTGGGAAAAAATAAAAATGGAGAAAAAAATATTTTAAAACGCGCCTCAAAGAGCCTAAAGTTCCGAGCGTGGCGTGCGAAGATGCGTTTTTTCGTCATTTTGCGAATTTTTTTTCTCCCGTTGAAATGTTTCTACGGCTTTGAAATTTTTGTAGGTAACATACTTTTTAGAGTACTTTACGAGAAAAATAATGAAATTTACCTCGCCCAATTTAAAATGCCCTTTTTACCTCATCAAAGAGGCCATGTCGTGCGATTTTGCCGATTTTCCCTTACAATCTACCCGCACGGCGCGTGGCGTGTCTCTTTTCCACCTTTAAATTGTTGCTCCGGTTTTGAAATGTTCTGAAGTAGGTATCACATATTTTATAGTAATTCACGAAAAAAATAACAACATTTACCTCGCTACTTTTAAAATACCCCATTTCCCCTTCAAAGTGGCCTCGTTTGGCTGCCAAAACTCGTTCAGGCAAACTGTGCCGGGAGAATGTTTATGAACAATCGACGAAATCGCATGATCTGTGATGGGCGAGGTAAATTTCATTATTTTTCTCGTAAAGTACTCTAAAAAGTATGTTACCTACAAAAATTTCAAAGCCGTTGAAACATTTCAACGGGAGAAAAAAAATTCGCAAAATGACGAAAAAACGCGTCTTCGCACGCCACGCTCGGAACTTTAGGCTCTTTGAGGCGCGTTTTAAAATATTTTTTTCTCCATTTTTATTTTTTCCCAGTTATTTTCTCATCAAATGAAACCATTTGCAGGGCTCTGCACTTTAAATTCCGTAGCAAGTAACCTCTTCTGAAATAGGAATGTTGACCATTTTGGCGCCAAAAACCGGTACTTTACGTGGGGCGTAAGGACTCGATCGACTTGAAACCTTTTCTGACGATACTAGGGCATGCTTCTTGAAACATTGAAACCAAAAATTAGAGATTTTAGTGTTACTATCTTGATAGCGTGCGAGTAAACCGTTGCCAAAAGAGCCATTTTGACCGTTTTGGCGCCAAAAAAACTATTTTTTCGGTGGGACGCACCACGCATGAAGGCTTGAAATTTTTTTTGGTAACAACTGGGTATATTACCTACATTTTAAGGCAATAAAAAAAAATGTATGTGTCCTCATTTTTTTTAAAACCGCTAAAATCTGAAAAAAATTGAAAATTTGCGATTTTCACGAATTTTTTTCGGAGTCTAAATATATTTCGATAAATTTGATTTTTTTACCCAAGAATGTGATTGCTCTGATGTACATTTGGTGAAATTTTGGTGCATTTTCATTGAAAAACGCGGGAGATATGAAATAAAACGTGAAAATACCCCAAAATTCCCCGAAAAATGGGGTTTTCGGGGCTGGAGGGGGGGTGGTTGGGGTCAGGAGGTTAAAATTGCCCAAAACCATGTTTTTAGGACCTCCTGAAGGGGTTTAGACCATTAAATTCAAAATCCGTGAGGAGGGGCATTTTGGTGCCCTTATCCTGGGATACCCTTTTCTGGAGATTGGCTCTTTATGAGTTTTTCAAGGTTCAAAAACGAGGAATCATGAAACTGAAAAACATGTAGTTCATGTCCAGAAACAATCACGGTGAGGTAAGTCTGCTTCCCATGGATAAAAAAGGTCTTTTTTCAGATGTCTTGAGACCTCTACTCTAAATTTGAGTACAACTTATCTTCGATCTTTATTGAGATCGTTCTTATTCAAAGCGGCGCGGCGGTCATCTCGTGAAAGCAAATATCTGATGGCAACACTGTTATTCCTCCATTTAAATTCATTAAAAATATCGATTGTAGGTGCGGCCGGCTGCCCCTCCAAGAATCGACTGTTTTACATACATTTAAATGGAGGTAAAACATGGTTGCCAACTTTCAAGAATCGCCACCGCGCCATAGTTCATTCCAAACACTTCATGACATTCTTCATACTTTGAAGTATGATTATTATTACTGATAATGCTCCTTAGCGCTACTAAACGACCTCACCGTCAACTTCTGGTCCATTCTATTCCGATACAAACGCTTAACACTATTATTCTTGAGACCATCTATATTATATTTCTTTTAATAAACGACAACTCTTTCTTGCTGCTGATCTCGTAGCACAATTAGATTCCATACGAAAACCTTACGGATTCGATTAAGAAGCCTCCTCTATATGAAACCAATATAGAAACTTCTGTGTGGATTTTATTCGACGGTGGAATCAGTGGCGTGGCGTGAATTGCGATGTATCGATTGTTCTGCCATTTAAACCTATGGTGAAGAATCGATTATTAAGGTGTTCGCTGCGAACACCCTGTTTTTTGATCCTTTTCCATAGGTTTAAATGGTATAACAATCGATACATCGCAAAGCACGCCACGCCACTGGGTGGAATCAGTGCCGAAAATATACCCATGCTCGTACGAAATCTTCATTGATTCCATTTCACTGTGATGCTGGGAAACGCTACCCGAGATTAGAGAGCCACAGAATATCTATAGTCAGTGGCTTGGCGTGAATAGCGATGTATCAATTGTTATGCCGTTTAAACCTATGGTAAAGAACCTATTTTGAGGGTGGTCGCTGCGAACACCCTGTTGATCGATCCTTTTCCATAGGTTTAAATGGCATAACAATCGATGTATCGCAATTCACGCCACGCCACTGTATCTAGTCCGAGAAATAATTTTCACTAGAATCGGCAGAAGTTTTTTTTTCCATTGGAGGCACTCAGTATCCCTGACCTAGTATTAGTCATATCTTTGCAAAGGTATTGAAGAATATTTATTAGGAAAACGAGGGAGATTGTGTAGGTGCAGCGAGCACAATGCCTTTGAGAGGGATTGATCCGTCCCTCAACAGAACACGAGGTAGGATCCTGTCGCTTGGAAACTGGTGCTTGGGAAAAATGTAAATCACCTGAGGTGAGATTAGGGTGGGAACAATACGTAGAATACGTTGGCGGACAACAAAGTACATAACGCACGCTGAGCCTTTTTCCCACGAATTTCCGCGCGACATTGAACGTTGACGCCTACTTAAGTTTAGCACTTTGCGTTGCCGCGCGCGCTTCTTACCGCGGGACTCGGAGAATCCACCGTTGCTAAGTTTTATCTACACGAACAGATATACAGGGTGTCCCAGGATTAAATACGAATATTGAAGGAGTCGATTCTTTGGGTCAAAAAAAAAACGTTTTGGTGGTATACATTTTTTTCCAAACACGCTTGCCGTGGGCGCCACGACTCCCCAAAATTGGAGGAAAAAAATCGTATTTTCAACACTGCGGCAATGTTTATCAACTGATATTAATGAAAATTAGTGGCTGGGAGTAATTTTGAACGTTCTTTTCATTTTTGATCTCCAAAAAGGTAAAATTCATTTTGAAAGGGGTTTAGGGGGGATATCGAACCTAACAGTGGCCAAAATCAATGTTTCTAGGGACCGAAATTGATTTTTGACAGTACCACAAGATTTAGCGTTGAAAAATATTGACAATAAGTCTCCTGCGTTTTTTCGCTATAACTCATCATTTTCGAGATAATAGGGACTAATGGAGAATAATAGGAGCTGAT